GTCTAAGTAGTCTACCACTAGCAGTGGTTTACCTACTTCATGCCGCTGGTGAGTATTGAATTTTGTTGATGTTATAATGTTTACCATTTCCAATTTTTGTTTTGGTTATTCCTCATTCAGTAACCTTTTCTAGGTTACAACAATTTTTAAATTAAATCAAGAGCCCTCAGGGAGGCTCCATGCCTTGAGAGACTTCTGGTCCTCAATCCAGACCTCAAGCAGGACTTGTACATATGATCCATCACTAAAGATGCAGGAAAAATATTGTTCCCTGTACCACTCCAGTATGAGAAGGGACAGTGGAGTAATGGATAGCAGCTTGGATTGAGGAATTGGAGAGCCGAGTTCAAATTCCAGTCGAATCCATTACATTCACTTACGTGCTAATACCCTTGGGAAAGGTGTGAATCCTCTTCTTCCAGCTTTCCAGTTACATTAGAGTTGAAAAACATCTCAGTGTCCTTGTGTCCTTGTGGGTGACAAATTATTTTCCAGCCTACAACCCCTTCCCCAGAGACAAAATGCCACAAGCCTCTCACTGCTCTATTGATATTTCCATGGTGAGCGTTCAGGCAAATTACATTCCTTAGTTCCACCAGTTCTAACCTTTATGGCTAAGACCCCCGCCATGCTATGTGCATTGTAGCGAACCACCCTCATTTCCTTCATATTCCATTGATAAGAAGTAAGTTTCACTCAAGCAGTTGCTTCTTCCCACAAACCACTGCTCTGTTGGAACGACACCCAACAAGATGTTTTCCCACATCATAACCTGTTCAAGTCTAGGGTTAGCCATTATCTTCCCCACATATCTGCATAAACTGTACTTCTTACTTTGTAACCCTCTATCTCAAGTGGCTCCTGGGCCTTGTACAGGATGAACCCAATTGTAAAAAAAAAAAAAAAGAAATTTCTCGCTATTTCTGAATCTAAACTTACCAAATGGAAATGGGGGGGGATATTTGTGGACTTCTCACTTGTGGAACTCTTTTCCAGCTTCTTGCTTTACGACCAACATTGATGTTCAAAAATTTAAATGCAATATTAATCATCTTCTGTCAGCTTAATATATCTGTTCTTTTATTGTACTCTCACCTTAATAATGTTTTTTTTTTCTCTGATTTGCATAAATTTTACCTCTTTCTCTGTAACCCTCTAACTCAACTAAGCCTTGGAATGAGTAAAGGGTAAACCTTGCTAAAAAAAAAAAAAAAAAAAAAACTTTTGACAGTTTTTAATCTTAAAAAAAAATTCCCCATATCACATTTTCATCCTGGAATATGGGTTTTGTGTTTAAAAATTATAGGTTAATTTTTCAAAATGATACATTAATTTTTCAAAATTATAGGTTAATTTTTCAAAAATACAGGTTAATTTAAAAAAATTACAGGTTAATTTTTAAAAAATTACAGGCTAATTTTTAAAAAATTACACATTAATTTTTTAAAACAATTTCACTTTTGAATCTTTTCATTTGTACTGTCATACTTCTTCTTTTTCAAAATTACAAGTTAATGTTTTTACTCCATAATTCTTGATTCAGCAAAAAAATAAGAAATGGTGCAAAGTGTCATATCTTAGCACATATATTACACACTGTCAGTATCTCATAAATAATGAACTCATCTGTTTTGATCATGAGGAAAAATAGAAAAGACATATCAGTGATGCTATATGGCTTTAGGGATAAAAAGGAAAAAATGAAAGCAATGAAAGAGGAAGAAAAAGAAAGATAGAAAGGAGAAAAAGAGGGATAGAGAAGAGAAAAGAGAGATAAGAAAAAGAAAAATAGGGAAAAGATAAAGAGGGATAGAAAAAAGAAAATGTGGGATAGAGGAGATAAAGACAGATAGGGAATAAAGAGGGATAGAAAGGAAAAGATATTCGTGATGATAATGCCCTCATGTTTTTAATGTTTACTTTAATGAAATGGAAAACAATTTCACTTTTGGATCTTTTCATTTGTACTCTCATACTTCTTTAAAGAATAACCTGTATTCGTACTTATAATTGTTATTTCAACATTTTGTTAAAGTTGTTAAGTTCAAAGATTCAATGATTTCCATGGGTATTTTATAGTCATAGAATAAGCTTATTAATTATTAAATTAAGAATTCTGATTCACCAGAAAATTTAATTAACAAAGTCATGGAATTTCCACAGTTGCTACCAGTTAAAATAAACATTTGTTAAACATTTTAAAACTTTAATTAAAATTTTCTGTAATTAACATATATCACAAATTATATTTTTCTTTTTCTTTACTAATGTTCACCCTATACAAGGCCCGAGAGCCACTCAAGGTAGAGGGTTACTGAAGGAGTTTGTTGCATGATCAGTAAGAGTAAGAGGCACAATTTATGAAGATGTATGAGGAAGATATTGAATACTGTTGTGGTCAGTAAAGCATCCTCTTGGGAGTTGGTTCCACAATGTAGCAGTTTATAGGATGAAACTGTTCAAGTGGAACTCTTATATGAAAGGAATTATGATGGTTCATCTCAGTGTATGTGGCATAGTGGGTCTTTGTTCAATTTTCAGTCTGATCTGGTTCTGAGTTAGAGCAGAGCAGGAGGAGCCGAGTATTTACTGCAGCAGTACAAGGAACTGATCATTTTTCCAGCATCTTTAGTGACAGGTGATATATATGAGTTCCACAAGGTTTGGGATGTGTGTTAGTACCAATATGGGTTCAAGATAAGGGGCCCTCCTTGAGAGAACACCCATTCATTACAATAGGTGATAATTCAGGGTCTGTTACCAGTTTGGTTTTTGAAACATTGAATGTGAACAACCAGTTTTCTCCAGTGAACTGTTAGAGCTCAATCAGAGGAGAGATCAGCTGCCAGATTCTGGTTATCAAGATATGCTGTTCTGTCAGCTGCATAGACATTCACTAAAGATATTTTTTTTTAAGTATTTACTGTTTTCTTTATATGTACACAATTTATTTTTCACACACTAATTTTCTTTTCTTCTTTTTCTTTTTATATTATTTTCTTCTTTTTATTTTCATTTCCTACATAAAATCACTATATTTACATATTTTTAAACATATTTCTTTTGTTTGTTTGTTTGTTTGGGTTTTATGGCATATCAACCACGGTGGGTTATTTAATGCCAAATCCAGTTTATATGAATTTTAAATGCCTATTTTGTATGGAATAAAAAACGTATAGCTGGCAACATTATGGTTCCAAAAACGTATAACTGGCAACATTATGGTTCCAAAAACGGATAGCTGGCAACATTATGGTTCCAAAAACGTATAACTGGCATCATTATGGTTCCAAAAACGGATAGCTGGCAACATTATGGTTCCAAAAACGTATAACTGGCAACATTATGGTTCCAAAAACGTATAACTGGCAACATTATGGTTCCAAAAACGGATAGCTGGCAACATTATGGTTCCAAAAACGTATAGCTGGCAACATTATGGTTTCAAAAAAGTATAGCTAGCAACATTATGGTTCCAAAAACGCATAGCTGGCAACATTATGGTTTCAAAAAAGTATAGCTGGCAACACTATGGTTCCAAAAACGTATAGCTGGCAACATTATGGTTCCAAAAACGCATAGCTGGCAACATTATGGTTCCAAAAACGTATAGCTGGCAACATTATGGTTCCAAAAATGCATAGCTGGCAACATTATGGTTTCAAAAACGCATAGCTGGCAACATTATGGTTTCAAAAACGCATAGCTGGCAACATTATGGTTTCAAAAAAGTACAGCTGGCAACATTATGGTTCCAAAAAAGTATAGCTAGCAACATTATGGTTCCAAAAACGCATAGCTGGCAACATTATGGTTCCAAAAACGCATAGCTGGCAACATTATGGCTCCAAAAACGCATAGCTGGCAACATTATGTTTTCAAAAAAGTATAGCTGGCAACACTATGGTTCCAAAAACGCGTAGCTGGCAACATTATGGTTCCAAAAACGCATAGCTGGCAACATTATGGTTCCAAAAACGTATAGCTGGCAACATTATGGTTTCAAAAACGCATAGCTGGCAACATTATTGTTTCAAAAACGTATAGCTGGCAACATTATTTTTCCAAAAACATTATCTGAGGCCTTGCTGTTGGATGTAGTTTATCGCCATACCCAGGACGCGGATGTAGTTTATCGTCATATCCAGGACGTTATTTTTTTTTTGTATAAGTCACATTAGTGAACTCTTGTGTAATATCGGTCCTCCTATATGGCAGAGAATGCTAGACGATCTCGTCAAAGATAGAGAAGTGACTTGGGGCAACAGAAATGTGGTACGACTGAAGGATGCTGAGAATACCACAAAGTGAATGTGTTAACAATGACAAAGTTTTACAGAAAATGTAAACAAACATGACACTTAAAAAGACATGAGAAAAAGACAAGTGAAATTTCTAAGACACATAATGAGAAAAGAGGGCTTAGAAAATTTGATACTCACAGGACATAATTGAAGGCAAGAGGGACAGAGGAAAGCAACACAACTACCAAACTAGCTTGTGTAAATTGTTGGCAGATCAAAGATTTGGAGAAATAGTGAAAAGACAAACTTTGCTCAACGCTACAAAAGTTGTAGAGGGCAATGACGGCCCATGGCCTGAAGGGATACGGCACATAGAAGAAGAAAATGTTAAATTTTTCTCAAATTGACACACAGCGATTTGAAGTAACAGGGTTGCCATGATAATGACTTTCCTATAGATTTTTTTTTAGCTATGATGAAGCACCAACAGCAAAATAAAAATTTTGATACCTGTTAAAACTTTCACAAATTGACCTCAGCGATTTTAAGTAGCAGGGTTGCCATGAAAATGACTTTTCCTTAGTTATTTTCAGCTGTGTTTTGATAATGCTCTTGAGAGAAGAATGCAGCTTCAACAAGGAAATAAAAATCTATACATCCAACTGGGTATTCCGTCTTCACATACTTTAGTTATTTCAAATCAATCTATTATTAGTACAAAAGCATTATTTATAGAAAAGAAACAGAAAGTCATACCTTGGTTAAAAGTTGAACATCATTTTCGAGTTTTTTAAAAGTATCTGCTGGTAGTTTCTTGAAGGCTTGATCAGTTGGAGCCAAAAAAGTAAGGAAACGATCCAAATCAGACAAGACACGAAGTAAAGTATATGATTTCGCAATGAAGGTCTTCAGAATGCTAGAGTAAAATAAAAAATATAAAAATCAAATAAAAATAATAATATTCTATTATATAAAATAATAATAATATAAGTCTGAAGGAATCATTTTCATTATTAATTTCAGAGTAGTTGATCTTTCATCTTAATATTGTTGCATTTTAACATAATGCTCAGGTCATTTTACATTGTACAGCCATTAAGTAGACATTATTATTAGTTCCAAGCTAGTTGATCTTTCATCTTAATATTGTTGCTTTTTATCATAATGATGAGGTCATTTTACATTGTATGATCAGAGAAGGAGATAGGGATGAGTAGAGATGAGGTGTAGGAAAAGAAAAGTGAATGTGGGCCATTGTATTTTTTCCCATCTTCTCTCTCTTACTACAAAAAGTATCAACGAGTTTTTAAAATAAGAGAAGAAATTCAAATAGAAAAAGAAAAAAAATAAAGCTTTACCTGAAGTTTCCATAATTAAATATTGTGTAATAGGCAGTGGTAATGGGTAACGGATAAAGAGCTTTGTTCACTAAATGCACGACTGTACCGTTGCCATCATGATTTGGTTTCATAATTTTAGCTCCGCTCACAGAAATTATCTGAAAGTGGGAAACATCGAAATAAGCATAGTAGCAAAAGGGTAGAGAATCAACAGAAAGTTTCCACAGTTGGACAATTTCCTCACATATGAAGAGGAGACTTGACGCAACAGAGATATGGTTTTGTAGAAAGATGCTGAGAATGCTATGGACAGAGCCTATAAGCAACTATTTAAGGAAAATAGAATCAAAAAGAAGCCTTCTACTTAAAATCAGAAAGAGGATGACTTTTGGGGATGCTGGGCAATAAACCCAGCCCCCTTCCAAAGGAGAGGTACTGCCTGGAGTAAGCCAATGTGACTTGGGCTTAATATTTTTGAGACATACATGTGCCAGCAATCAGAAAAGGTAAGAATTATTTGGTGCAAATGGTAGGTGAATATGGTGACTGGTATAGAACAGACTGACCAAGTTCTAAATTTTTTTTTCCTGTGTTATTCTTCATGCAATCAGCTTTGTTCTGTGATGTTGAAACATTGGTTCCCATACAATCACTGAAGTTAAGCAATATTGAGCCTGGTCAGTACCTAGATGGGTGACCATTTGGGAATAACAAGTGCTGTTAGCTTGCATGAGCAGGTGGTGTAATGGATAACAGCTCAGAATTATTAATCGGAGAGCTGAGTTCCAATTCCTGTTGGATTTGTTATATTCACTTACATACAAAATACCCTTGGGAAAGGTATGACTCCACCTCTTCTCCTCCCAACTATGGGTTAATTAGTAAGATTTGTATCATTAAACCATTATTATCTCCAAAACATATTCTTACAATCTAAAAATATTTTCTAAAAAATAACATGCAAAGAGTTGTGCTAATTTAAGCTATGTTCTCCAAATTTAGGTCATAGTCAATCATGGCCCTCCACTACTTTCTATCTCCTGTGTCTTTTAGTAGTTTTTCTCCCTTTTTTAAGGTTCTAGCGCCAGTTCTGCCATCCATTAACACAAGCTTATCAGCTATGTAGCTCACTGTAGTTAAATATGTCTCTATTCCTCAGACATCATTTGTACAATACAAGATACCGCTTGTTCAATCTGCCATTCTTGAGTTCTGCACATTTCACCAACATAAGACCATTCTGCCTTCTCACTGCTTCAGCCCTCTTTTATCAGGCCAACACCACGGCCAAGCAGCCAATCAGCGTCCTTTGTTTTTTTTCTCAGTTACCCAGGCAAATAGCCCCCTCCACTTTGTTCAGTCAGCACACGATTTGCTATTGGTCGAACCATGCCAAACTGTACAAAAAAAAACAAACGTTATAGCACATACTGCTGGAATCGTTAGACAAGAGTGTAATGCCATTTTCAAGGAGGAAAATGCCAATGCCACTTGCCACATGTTTAGGTAAGACACTTATTTTCCTTTGCCCCAGATGCAAGCCACCCTGGCTCACTTGCTTCGACATGACTGTTCACCACACTTGCTGCTTTCTCCTATTTTTCTTGCCCACTATATTCCCTGTGAGTGTTAAGTTTTCCAAGCTTTCTTTCCTATTTATGTATCCAAAGAATAACAGGTGTCTTTTTCTAATTCTGTGTAGCACTTCCGATATTTAAATTTTTGTACTTGTTTGATTTTGATATTTTCAATTGGCAATTTGCATTTTGGCATCATCTTTTTAATGCACTTATATTTATTCTTAAATGCAAGAAAAATGGTCAGTTCTCTGTACTGCTCCAGTAAGTACCTAACTCCTTGTACTATCCTCTACCGTTACGAGAGCCAGATCGGGCCTAAAATTGAGTACGGTTGTAATATTTAGGTAGAAACTACCCAGTCCTCACTTTCAAGTTGTAATAGAGTCCAAAAGCTTCTCAGAGTCCTTGTAGCTGACAAAATTATTTTCTACCCTCCGACCTTTCTCTCACAGGTGGGATGTGGTAAGCCTCTTGCTGATCTATTGCTACTTCAATGGAAAGTTCTTGAAGGAACTGCATTCCTTGGTTCTGCCAGTTAGACCCTTCACAGACAGGATCTGACATGCTGCCAACATGGTTGCAAACCACCCACATTCCCTCCATCTTCCATTGGTGAGAAGTAAGTTCCATTCAAATAGCTTCTTCATGCAAACCACTGCTCTATGGAACTAACTCCCAAGAGGATATTTCCCCAATGACAACAATCTTAACCTGTTAAAGTCTCAGGTTAATTGTTATTTTCCCGTCCTATCCACATAAACTACCTTTTACCGTAAGCCTCTACCTTGAGTGCCTGCCGGGCCTTGTACAAGGTGAACCTCACTGTAAAAAAAAAAAAAAAATTCCATGTGTGATTATTAGTTAGGGTGATACAGTAGTCCTTAAATTTGCTGCCCCCAAAATGGAAATTACTTTTGACTCAACCAAATAGATTCATTCAGTCACTCTATTTTTTTAGTTATCATAATTCATGTTGTGTAAGTCGATAAAATTTGCTTTGCAATAAACAGCTTGAAAATATTGTATTATCAGCTTATCTTTGCAGCCATATAAAAATATAACAGGATTAGTAGATTAACCCTTTGAAAACCAAGTGGCTGATATACAGGCCACTGTGTGAAAGTGCATATGTTGTACAGCGCCCTTGTTCTGGGGAGGTCTTTTGGCTGACAGGGTCAATTCCACAACAAAGCTGCATTCTTCTCTCTTGGCCGTCTTCTCTCAGTTGTGTGTCAAAATGTTTTTGGAGACCGGAGATGAAATAGACATCAACAAAGCAGAATTTGAAAATTTATCTATTTTATTAAACATGTCAATGTGTAATTTTTGACTAGCCAGGGGGGTCACTCTATCACTCCGCATTGGGGAACAAGTTCCCCAAGACACAAAATAACCACGTCTGTTGTGCATGATGTGCAAAAACATAACTCCTTGAAATCACTTTCTATCTTTCTAACATTCCCACGTTCAGCTCAGCCAATCAAAATCCTATTTTGTCTACCATCAGACCTTAAAGGTCAGCCTCATAAGGTCTGAACCAAAATACACTGCCACCAAAAATAATAGTCTGAAACTATTATTTAACACATATACCATTCTCATCAGTGGTCAGGGTTCAAAAGGTTAAAGAAAATACATTTTAAGAAACGTAGATAAATAAATTTTTGAAGTGAAAAGGTTATATTAAGAAGTGTGAGATATTTGTACACTTTACTCAGGATTAAAGCTAATCTATTGACGTTTATGTGGTTAAGTAGTTAGAATGTATGTTTACCAACCCTGGTTTGAAATCTCACTGTAGTTGATTTGTTAGAAAGGGGATTTCTTCATTTTATCATTCTGGGTAGAGTGCCTGAAAACGACACCATGGTTTTACCCAAGCATTGTGAGTGAAATTCTGTAGATAGAACTGTTTGGAGCCTGCCGACGATTCTGCTAGTCACAAGTCATCATGAATGAGTAGACTGCTCTTTTTCCAAACTGCTGATCACACCAGATGATATACTCTTTTCTTTAAACTGAAACTAAGCTCAGTTCAGCATAGTTGTGGTTACACTGATGGGCTTGGTAGGTGCTGAACAAACACCAATGTGCCTGATCAGGTACCTGATCAGGTGTCTGCATCAAGGACTGGTTAACAGATGTGTGAGGGCTTAAAAATAAGTAGTCAGGTATTATCAAAGATTTTTGACACATGGATCCATTTTTCTTTTCAAGGTTGATAAGGCTGTTATTGCATTAACAAAAGCAGAGACAATTAGGAGCAAGAACATCCAAATGTCAAAATTATGTCAAAAGCATAAAGTGCATGCCAGTTGATCATCAACAGAGTGACTTTTTTTTTTTAACAAGGCCTGGGAGATACTCAAGATAGAGGGTTACAGAGTAAGAGGCATAATTTATGCAGATATGTGTGGAAGATAACAGTTAACCCTAGACTTAAACAGGTTAAGATTGTAGTGATCAGGGAAGCAATCAGTGGTTTGTGGGTAGAAGCTGCTCAACTGGAACTTACATCTCACCAGAGGAATATGAAGGGAATGAGGCTAGTTTGCTACAATGTGCATGTCATGGTGGGTCTTAAGTGTGAAGATTAGGACTTGTGGAACTAATGAGTGTAGTTCATCTGAACACTCTCCATGGAAACAGCGATAAAGCAGTGAGAGGCTTGCAATGTTGTGTCTGTGAGAGAGCAGTTGTAGGGTGGAAAATAATTTGTCGCCTACAAGGATGCAGATGCGGAGATGCTTTTGGATTCTGTTGAGAGTGGAAATATAAATCTTGCCCATATATGGCAGCAGTAATCCATTTTCAGCCTGATCTGGCTCTTGTAAAGGTAGAGGCTAGCAGGAGGAGTGAAGTACTTACCAAACTGGTACAGGTATAAAAACAGGAAAATTAATAAGCAAAAATAACTTACTTTGGAATGATTACTTTTGTAGATATTAGTTTTAATGTTCAGATGATATTTGGCAGTAGCCTGACCCCATTTGGCAAGTGTGACCAGCATTCCATTCTCTCTAATATCAGAACTGTGTATTAATCCTTTTGCTGCAAACAAAGACAAAAGAAACAACAATAAAATTTCATTACTCAGGTACATTAAATTGTGGTGTACACTTTTGACCTTAGTTCTGGCTATGATTATAAATTACATCTGGCGTCAAGGCCTCTGATTGAGAGATTGTAGGTTTTGAGGAGCATGTAACCACCTCTTAATTGCTGTTGTTCCCAGGTCCAGCTTGAGATGGGGTGGTAGCACCTGATAGGGTCCTAGCTATTGGCAAATAGTGAACATCGAAACAAAAGAAATTATACTATGAAAGTATAAAAATACATTTTTAGAGTAAAAATACCAGCAATACATTTTTGTATAAAAAAATTTCCAAAAATGCATATTTATAGTAAAATTACCAAAAATAAAATATTTATAGCAAAATTACCAAAAATAAATATTTATAGAAAATTACCAAAAATAAGTATTTATAGTAAAATTACCAAAAATAAATATTTATAGTAAAAATACCAAAAAGTAAATATTTATAGAAAATTACTAAAATAAATATTTATAGAAAATTACCAAAAATAAGTATTTATAGAAAATTACCAAAAATAAGTATTTATAGTAAAATTACCAAAAATAAATATTTATAGTAAAAATACCAAAAATAAATATTTATAGAAAATTACTAAAATAAATATTTATAGAAAATTACCAAAAATAAATATTTATAGAAAAATTACCAAAAATAAATATTTATAGAAAAATTACCAAAAATAAGTATTTATAGTAAAAATTACCAAAAATAAGTATTTATAGTAAAAATACCAAAATTAAATATTTATAGCAAAATTACCATCATCACCTATTTATATTAAAATTATCAACAATATATTTTATCTGTAGGTCTAGGCATACAATTGTGTTTAAAATATTTACATTTCAACCTTAAATAACCTATAGAGGTTGATATGCTGCTAAACAAAATCACCCAAGCAATCAACGAACAAGTCACCCTCAAGATTTTTAGCTACCTTCACTCCTCGGCATAGTTATTGTTTTAAAAAGCAATGATTAGAATTGGAATAAAACAATGAAACATTTGTTTTTGCTCTAGAGAATTTACAACAAAAATATTAAACATTATTAGATTGTTTATTTGCAAGAAAAATTTTATGTTTACAACTTTCTAAAAATACAATTAGAACTAATGCAATGCAATATTTATCATTTACCAATTTATAAAGAAATAAATATGAGAACAATTTTTTATCCATAAATTTTTAAACATTTACTAAATTATCAAATTACTTAATATGGCACAGTGGAGTAATGTATAGAAGCTTGGATTGAAGAATTGGAGACCTGAATTCAAATTACAGTTGAATCCATTACATTCACTAACATGCTAATACCCTTGGGAAAGGTATGAATCCTCTTCTTCTCTCCCCAGTGATGGGTAAATAGTAGGGCAGACCAGGTTCTATAGCCTTGGATGGCAACTGGTCTACCACAGAAAGAAATGGCAGCCTACTGCAGGAAAAAAATCTGCCTCGTCAGTCATGTATTGAAAGATACATGATCGCCTAAATGTGTATCACACATGGCACATAATTGACTGTCTGAAATTATACAGCTCAAGGTGGAGAAGGGGAGACAACCCTGATTTATGTTTGCTTCAACCACCATTGTGAATCAATGTAAGAAGTGATGAATTTTCTTTTTATTGGTTGGGTATCTGCCAATGAAGAGGGACAGAATAATCAACAGCATCAGAATCAAATGCTAAAGGAGCTGAACACTGGATCATGACGATCAGGCCACAAACAAGATTTCCACATGGGAACACCATGTGTATGGGACAAATGCAGCCAAGACACTGGAAACAAGGATGAACGAATTTCAAAGGATGCTGGGTAACATAGACAGAAATCCTTGTTAACGCATGGCAATCACAGCATGCTGCTAGTCTGAGTTCACCTGGAAAATGTTCCAGCTTTTATGGAGACTAAAATTTTAGCAGTTGGCTAACAAAAGAAATCATTTGTATAGCAAAAACTGCTTACTGTCCCAACTATTTCATGGGGAAACTGGTAGACACTTTCTTCATAACCAAACATACTGGGGTTTTAACCAGCTCTGTTCTAGCAAAGCAGCTATTTGCTTTCTTTCTGCAGAGACAGCACACTAAATGGTGTCTCTTTGAATGACTGGGGCAGGTACCATTATCAGTAATGGTTAGTAGCTTCATCTGCATTTTGTTTCTACTACACTCCCCCTGATCACATATATGGCAACCTGGAGCTGGTCTCTTCCATTGTAAGCTCTTTTATACTGGTATGTTTGCAGCTTCCTCTCTAGATGACTTGTCTACATATGACGTTGCGCCCCTCCATGAGCCCATCCAGTCTTTCTGTCCAGTGTCTGCGATTGATATCAATCACTTTAACTCAAGCCTTGCCCTATCCTATGTTGTATTTAATTTAGATCATAAGGATTGCAAGAGTCAATTGTTGATGGGGAATCATTGAACAAGTCTGAACTGGACAAGTAAGAAGCACAAGTCACAAGATAAGTTTAAAAAAAAAAAAAAAAGAAAATTTTATGTGACATTCCTTATACAGAGCTGGTAATATAAGTTTTTCTCCCTATACAAGATTATAGGTTCTTCATGCAGGCATATCTTGATGTGCAAATTCACTCGACCCTTCCCTCATTCAAATATTTCATGACACCTTTTTTCATTATAATTAAGTCTAGATAAGTAGAGGGCACAGGCTCAGTTCCTCCTAACTATTCCCACTGACTTAAAGTTATGTCTCCCACCAGCGTTTCTGATTGGCAGAAACCATTCCTTCTTCCATCTACCTGAAACTATTACTCTGAACCTCCCTTCAATTAATGTCTTATATTGGTACCTCCACCCTTTGGTGGGTGGAGACACTTCTATTTCTCCTTAGCATTTTCTCTTGTGGAATACTTTATGGTTGGGAAGAATTAACTTTCTCCTCCTCACTCCATTCTCCATCTTTGCTACAGTCAGCCTGGCATCATGGCATCTGGTTTTTATTCATTTTCATGACATTTTTTTTTGTATTTCAATTTCTTTGGGTGTGTCTTAACTTGTCATCGATCATAACTCCATTGACCTGTTATCTAGTATTTGTATTGGGTTTCCTGGATGACTGGAAGATGCATTCTCACAATTCAGCCAAGTTTGAAATTTACCATTTGACCTTTTCATCTCTTATCACCTCTGAGGAAATATATACTCTTTCTCAAAAACAATCCTTTGTTTTTTCTCATGACCAATTTTCTCATAACCTGTGGACAATTCACTATCAGCTTTGGCAAATTCATTCTTTTCTGTTGACAACTGATAAAATAAAGTAAAAAAAAAAATATCAGTTTTCCTTTTCTCTGTGAGAAAATAAGTCAAATGTTCCAGCCTTATCTTACTTTGAATTTACAAAATCTGGTCACATAGTTTTTGGTATGGCTATTGAGCTATCTTCTGACTTATCCATCATCATCTCAGTATATCTATCAGGCTATCTATTAACACTTTCAGTGTCTTAGGATGTCACACATTGAAGTGTCCACTAGCAAGTTCATGGGGATCACAGAGTGCATCTCTGATATTGATCATCCTTGCACTCTGGAAGGTAGACTCACTGTCATTTTCACATTCTAAAGTGCTTGAACCTATGACAGGACATAGGTCCCTCACATAGAGAGGTATTTCATCAATGAGAACCATCCTGGGTATGACGATAAACTACATCTGTGTCCTGGGTAAGACAATAAACTATGTCCAACAGCAAGGCCTCTGATCAGGAGGTTTTGTGGAGCGTGGAACCACCTCTTAATTGCTGATGTTCCCAGGTCCACCCTGACCCGGGGTGGTAGCACCTGTTAGGGTAAATAGTTAACATCCCAAACTGGGGTCAAAGGAAGGGTGTAGTGTAGTGACTTGATAAGTAAAAAAGTGTCATGTATCATGTTATTTTGGTGTACAGTAATTGTTAGGAGTGCTGTCCCACTTGCTTACAATTCAGTGGTAAGGGTTTGCATTTTATACCTGCAATATAAGTCAGCCTCTAGTTTTGGAAAGTTGTTTAAGGCTTGAAAATTTGACTTGTATGCTGACTTGTATGTATTTCTTGTCAGATTCAACAATAAAATAAAAAGTCTACATATCTCAAGATTCTTGGCAAAATCCAAAGAATCTGTAATGTTATTGGTCCTGAGCTAGCATCTCAGCTTCAGTCACTTTCCCACTACTGTAATGTAACTCCCTAGTCTCTTTTCTATAAATATTTTCATGATAATCGTTCTAATGAACTTTCCTCTTTAATGCTGTTATTTTTATTCCACTGCCCCACACACAGACAAACTGTACATATGGGAACTAGTTAGGACTACATAGAGACTTTAAGGTATTATGGTGGCTGTAGTAAGAATGGTAAGTAAGAATGTGTCATTTTGGTGTAAGGAATACTGTGGTATGTTTGGGTCAGTAATTGTGGCTAGCTAAGTTTAAGATAAGACAGACTAACCTTCCCCCCATCCCCCTTTTTACCATGTACCAGATTTTTGTATTATTCAAAATAAGTATTACCCTCATCTTTTATATCACAATGTCATGAATTTAAGCATAGTACTAAATTGGCAACTCGTTCTCATCATTTACTTTTGAAAAAAGCTGATTAATTTTTGTTGTCTTTTTTTTTACCTAAAAATCACATGAGCAAATTTTAATATTCAATTTTCGATGGTTATAATTTAATGAAATCATTGCTACAGATAAAATAGAATTATTATAATTCCATAAAATTAGTACTATAAATAAATTAAGTACTATTTTGGAGGGCATTAGTAGAAAGTTCATGTACTTTTTCTATTAGTATTATTATAGTATGCAACAATAAGGAACGATCATTCATAGTGGATATGTTCAAAATGCATAAGAAAAAGTAAGATAAAATATTCAGATATATTTTATCTTAAACAATACTCATCATTTTACTATTACAATAGAACTTAGTTACATCTAGCCATTTCAACTGTAAAATGATGAGTATGCAGACTCTTAGCTTCACCTAAACCAGTGTTTATCTCTGCTACTTGCATGTAATTGCTTGTAGTCATGAGAGAAACCTAGTTTTAGTCTTTTCCATTTGTAATAAAGACATACAGACTCTTTCCATATTGTTACATAAATCACTGGACTTTCATCAGAAGAAAGAAATAATTGCTATGAACAACTTAAAAATATTGCACTTATTCTATAAATACACTGAAATGATTCCTACAATATTCTTCTATAAATACACTGAAAAGATTCCTATAATATTTCTACTTCTGTGTGTCATGTCAGGATATTGGCAGTGATGGCTCTCCACAATTTCTTGTCCATTGTATCTCTTAGTAAATTTTATGTTTTGGTTATGGCTCCTAAAAATTATTCCACCTTGCATTTAGTCCATCTCCAGGTAGGTTATATGTTGTTTTCCTCTGTCCCTTTTACCTTCAATCTATCCTGTAAGTATCAAATTCTCCAAGCTCTCTTTCCTCATTATGTGCCCAAGAAATTTCAACTATCTTTTTCTAATGTTAAGTATAAGTTTCTTTTTTGTTGTCATTTTCTCTAAAACTTCATCATTGCTCATATGTTTGGTCCATGGTATGAGCAAGCACAGCCAGACAACAATGCTATAACTATGCAATAGTGAAAGTGAAATATCGCTATGCTAAATTAGGAGAAAACAATGATATGCTAATCTGAACATGAATATCTTAACTTCATATTCAGATTCACCGCTTCATGGAGTCATATGCTGACATTTGATCCCAGCAAAAGTACATGATCAAAAGAAGAAGAGCCTTTTTTTTTAATTCTTGGTATGACGTAAGATGATTAAGGCCTTTATTGTTAATAGGAAATTTTATTTATTTTTGTTTATTTTATTTTACTTTTGTTTCTTTATTTTTTTTGTAACTGCTACAACTTCTTAAAATAAGAACAGCATTTTTAATGGTATAAAAAAATTACTTACACAACAAATGTATTTAAATTTTATTTAAAACTATTTTTCTTATTTTTAAGTAATTATTTTCCAAAAAAGTATTTTAAAAGACTTTTAATTTGAATCCTGGCAGATGAGTATTTTTGCAGTGTCAATATTTTTTAAAAGTAGTATTTATAAAAAATATTTTTTTCCATTAAAAATAGGTACTTCCACTTTTTGCTAAGAAAAGAGCATATCATGATGAAAAAATACCCCAAATGTTTATGTCATTATTAAGTGGAAAGACCAAAGTATTTTTTTGATTATTTTATTAAATTTTTTAACCCTTTCTAGCATATTTGAAATTTTGGTTAAAAATCTTTTTTTTTTGCATCAGTGAAGATTACTATTAGGAAATTTAACACCTGTTTTCAGGCAAAAAACACATTGATTTGGAAATTCTTGCAAACATCAAATAATTGTCAGATTCTAATGGAACTTTCAGGTCTTATTCACAAATGAATAAAATTATTTTAGAATTTTTTTTATAGAAAATCTTGGTAGAAATTTTTTTTTTTTTTACATCTGTTATCCACCTAACTTAATGAAATTTTGAGAAATTATTTTTGTGCCGCTTTCGGTACTGTAATGGTTAGAAAGCTTGTCTTGCTAGAACAATTACGACTGAGTAGTCAGTTCGTTCCTCACTGGATGCCCCATACTTTCGGCTTTGTGCCACATCTAAGCTACGCTTGGAAAATCTCTATATTAGTTAAAAGCAGGAATCCTTGGAGAAATCATCAACTTTTTTTTTCAAACAGTTATTATTCATTTACAGAAAATATGCTCTGAATCGTAAAATAAAACATGCAATCAAAAAGACATTAGAAAAGCTTTTAATTGTCTTTATGAATTAAAAATGTATTTATTTACATTGCTGCTTACGTTTTAAATAGATAAATCATTTGAATGATATAACGCTGTGAGAAAGACAAGAAAAAACTGCAAGACATGTTTGTTATTTAATTTACATTTCACTGTTGGGACTGTTGTCCTCATCTTTTTTGCCATATTCACATTTCAGCTGTGTTGTACACTAGAGCTTTCTTTAGGTGATTGGAATTTCGAACTGAACCATTTATAAATAAATAAATAATAATGTAAATAGTTTAATTACAATATCTCATCTCAGAAATATAGACAGACATGTCTGTTTTTCGTTTGCAGTACTTTCACAAGTGAAAGTACACTACCAGGCTCGCTAAAATAAAATCGGATGTACTGTATATTAGATATGTGTAGGTTAGGTAAGTCAGTGTACCAGTTCAGTCAGATGTATTAACTGAATCACTCACATAAACTAAGAGAAAAATGCAGGTATTTAAAGAACAAACTATTCACTCAAACTGTTTATTTTTTCGTTCGAAATTTATAACATCAACCGTTCGACAATTTTGTAATCCAAGGGAAGTAACTCTCGTTCCTCAGTTTAGAATCAGTTAAGAAGAACGTCAAGATTAACAGCAAAAAGGCTCGCATCTTATTTATTGTTTTAGGGAATTGCGCGATAAATGATCAACAATGAACAAGGGAAATAACTCTAAACTCAGAAAAATCTACCCCGTGTAAAAAAGCGACTTCATTGAATTTCAGTTAATAATTCTACCAACTCTTTGTCTAATAAATTCCCCCTCTCATACTTTCGTTTACACACACACTGACCTGATCAAAATTTGCAAAAGTTGAGGAACCAATTTAAAACAAAAAAAAACAAAAAAAAAAAACAAAAAAAAACTATTTCATGAGATATTATTTAAAATTAAAGTTCGTAATTAAAAATGTGCTTGTATTTTTATTTTTTTAACCTACACTTTTCGATTTCAGTTTTGAAAATGGTTAAATATTTTTCATGTTGGAGAATTTCTGTTAAATAATGTAAAGTTACTTACTGCAAATATTAATTCATGTTTGTTTTTTTTATTAATTTTTTAGCACTCTTTTGAAATTATAAATTTTAAATCAAAGTTTGTTTTTTTTATTAAATTTTTGGTTCTCTTTTGAAATTATAAATTTTACCGAGCGCAGATGTAGACCCCACATCTAAAAATAGCACACCCGAGTCCCCCACATTAGGGGTAATTGCAAAGGTCAACCCAACCGAAGTGCAATGGAAGGCCTCGCTCTGAGAGAATTTGGTGTGAATTTTAGTAAATATAATTTCTTTTTATTTTGGGATGAATTAATATTTTTGGGTGAATTAACAGAAAACTCTGTGGGCCAAGTCATTTTCCCAGTGGATAAAAGCATTGGTTGAAGAGTTGTGAGTTCAATACCTGGCTACAGCAGAAGTGAACAAAAACTTGCAGAGTTCAGGTAAAAGGGAGATAACTGATACTGAAATATCAGGAAGAGGCATGGCACATGGAACTAGAACAATCTATCCTGGTGGACAAAATAAAGGGTTTGATTCAAAATTCCTATCATCTAAAGAAAGCTGGAGTGTACAACGATCAAAACATTGTGAATATGGCAACAAAGATGAGGACAACAGTTTAAACAATGTAAATAGTGTAAACAATTACAATACTTAATTTCTGAAAGATAGAAAGATACCTTAAGAATTATTACATTAAAAAACATTTTGGGTTTATACTTTATCAAATTAATGAATTGGTTTTAATTTAAACCAAACTAAACTTTGTCAATTTCTGTCTGAATTTCTGGGATGAGGAGTTATCATTATTTACATTTTTATCATCTTTGTTGTTGCTATCTCAACGTTTTGACTATTGTGCTCTCTGCCTTTCATCAGGTAACCTATGTTGGAGTAACCTACAGGGAATTCTGAATTGAATCCTTTATTTATTCTATGAGGTGTGGGTGGGGGAGAAGATTCTCATTCCAATGTCCTGAGACAGTAGCCTAGTGTATTAAAGCATTAGTTAATGAATATGGTAACATAGTATTTGTGAGTTCAATCCCTGGGCTGGGCAGAGTGTACTTGAACTCCATGGAGATAGAGCAAACAACATCCGAGTAGTACAGTAGGCTATCCAGATATTTTTGAATTAACAGTATATCGGTTTTAACTTTATGATTTTATTCCTTATCTATTTGTAAAACCACAGGATCACCAAAGTTCAAAGGTATTCAATACATGACAACTAAATGAGAAGTCAAAGTTCAAGTCTGAAAATTGAAAAGAATGTTCTTACCAAGGTGGAAACGCATTATCATATTCATACTTGTTAAGTTTGAACACATACTTGGAGAAATTACCAGCATGGCATCATTGCTCGGGACAAAAACAGTAACATTTGCATTTGGATTCTTAAGAATGCTGTCAAGGTGAAGAGTTGATGCAATCTTCAGAAACTGCAAAGAAAAGAATTTCAAAACAAATAAAATGTTATTTTAGATGCATTGTCAAAATGAAAAACTACTTTGGAGGCGATTTTAATGATAAAATTTAAACAATGCTTATTCCCAACAGATTTATTTAAAAATATAATTATTTTTGAAAATGACATATATTGCAAGAAATTATTTCTTATAAAATTACCCAAGGAAACATGGCTCAGTGGTTGGTTGAAGTAATCTGATGACTTGACCCAAAGAGTTGTAAGTTTTGTTCATCTAGACACAAGCACAGGGGAACAAAATCTTGGAGAGTTGAGTTACTAAAGGGAAATAACTGAAACTGAGATATCCAGAGAAGGCATGGCATGTGGAACTAGAACAATCTACCTTGGTTTGGAATTCCATTGTATACCACCTGAAGAAGGCCAAAACATCATGAATATGACAATAAAGATGAGGACAACAGTCTGAGCTATATAAATAGTGTAAATATAAAATTACTTTTCAAAAAGAGCTTTATTAAAAAAAAAATTACACAGTAAAGTATTGTTTCCATTAAAATGAATGAAATTAGAAAAAAATATTTATTATATAATTAACTTTTAAAATAACATTTGTTTGAAAAATATGGCCTGTTTAGAAAAACGATATAAAAGAATTGTCTTTTAAAAATAGTTTAGGTTAGAAAATATGTATTACTGTGATCATTTGCAAGCACTGACAAATTTAGAGTTGGTGGGACTCAAAACATTATTAAACTTAGTCAGCTTTTAAAAAAAAATTCCCATTTTAAAACCTGAAAATTTTTCATTTTTTTTAGGTTAGTATTTGTAGGTTATTTAACTTATGTCTAAATTTAGCACTGACTCATAGTTCATTAATGATAAAAAATATCTGTGGTCAAGTGTTTTAAACTGTTACAGAATTATCTTTTAAAATGGCCTGCATTGGAAAATATTTATTACATGTATAATATATATATTATGTAATATATATATATATATATATATATATATATATACACACCTAGTGAACCAGACAAACCTACCTAGGTTTCACCTAAACAGATCGTCAGGGAAAATTCGAGGGTTTTTTCAAAAACGAGTCTAGTTATCTATCTATCTATCTATCTATATATATATATATATATATATATATATATATATATATATATATATAATATATATATGTATTTATGTATATATGTGTGTATATATATTTGTGTATTTAGGCATCAAATTCTCTTTAAGCATGACTGATTAAATAAATTACAGACATTATATCTGCCTATTTTTAATTTAGCATAACCTACTCATACTCATGAATAACCTTCCGTGTATTACAAATGATGCAAGGAATGCGCTATAACTGTGAAAAATCACTTTGATTTCCCAAGTACTTTCCATCTTCTTTTGGCAGTCATCTTCAGGGGTGCAAGTAGTAACAGAAGTTGAAATATAATCTTTTACAGGATGTAAAAAAACAACAAAAAATAAAAATCATTTCCAAGAACTGCCAAATTTAGAGTCGATGAGGCCATAAACCACTGTGCTGCATGATCCTCTTAAATGTGCCACTAAATAACATAAAAAATAAGAAGTGAGAAAGACTACACTCAACTGAAGAAGAGGATCTGCTTATTGCATATTTAACCAAACATTGAAGAAATCGTGAAAATACACCAGGCACAAGTTTAACACTAAATAAGCTGAAAAAAATAGTTGAATAGAAACATTGAAATAAAGCAAGTTCATATTTGTGTGTGTATTTTATTTTTAAATGTATGGTTTTATATGTTTTGTATGCCATTTAAAAATTTTGCTAAGTGTGCTGTGATATTTTCATTTGCTCCTAAGTGTGCTGTTGCTTAAAAGGCTTGAGAAACTCTGATCTAAATGATATTAAACTTTTAAAAAAGTCATCTTTAAAAAAAAATATGTTATTTTAAAAATTTAAAATATATCATTTTTAAAACTTAAAAATCTTGGATTTGTTTAGGCTCTACAGAATTATCTTTTAAAATAGCCTGTGCTGGAAAGAAATTGTCATATCTACCATTTTGATTATCTCAGGGATTTATTGTGAAAACCATAATGATTGATTGATTTCATTTTTATGACTTATCAACCTTTGCAGGCTATTTAAAGGCAGAAAGTATTTTTAGATTGAAAATATTTTGGGGAGATAATGATTTACTGATACAAGCCCGACTAATTAACTCATAGCTGGGGGTAGAAGAGGATGGATTCATACCTTGCCCAAGAGTATTTGTGAATGAGGGAACATAACAAACCTGACTGGAATTAGAACACTGCTCTCTAATTTCCAATTCTGAGCCATTATCTATTACACCACCTGCACATCCAAGTTTACAGCACCTAGTATTTCTAAGTGGTCACTCATTTACATACTGACTTTAAAAATTAGTATATATTGTTCTAAATAAAAAAAAAGCTCAAAACATCCAAATATGAAAATACCAGGGCTGTGGAGTGGGAGTCGGAAGCAATTAAGGGGTCACTGGAGTCGGGAAAATTATACCAACTCCGACGGCAGTTGAATTTAAACTTTATGTAAAAGGTCTTACATTATAGAATTTTTATTTTTATTATTTCTTCTACTGTATATTTACTATTCCCTCAACTTTAGATACAACTTTGAAATTCATCTCAACTTCTTTTTTAAATATCTGTCTATATTTCTGAGATGAGGTATTATCTACATTATTTACATTATTCAGACTATTGTCCTCATCTTTGTTGCCATATTTATTACAACGTTTCGGCCGTTGTACGCTCTGGCCTTCTTCTTGGTTGGAATGTCGAACTTAACCCTTTATTTCGCCCACTGGGGTAGACTGTTCTAGTTCCATGTGTCATGTTTGATGGATGTCATTTATCAGTTATCTCCTGTTAATTTCCCTCTGAAAGTTCTCCACTGCCTTCGGGTATTGAACTCACACTCTTTGGGTCCTGTCACTGGATCTAACCAATGCCTTTATACACTGTAAAGTAAAAATTCATCTCAACTTCTTTTTTAAAGTCATTTATTTTATTTTTTGTAATTATTTTGTATTTGCAAAACTATATATGTAAAAAAAAACAGTAAAAAGAAATATTTGCAAAACTATATATGAAAAAAAAAAATTATTAAAAAAATATTTTCAAAACTATATATGTAAAAATATCTTACATTATAGAATTTTTATTTTTGTTTCTTCTATATTCTTTCAAAGATTTTGTCTTTAATTCTGTTAGAAAATATTGAACAATGAATAGGTATGATATAAAAGCCACAATATCTTTATTCGTTGATATAAACCCATTATAATGATATAGGCCTACTAAAGTTAGGAGTGTATACATAGGCTTTATGAGATTTGTAGTCCATAATCACCTAATTACATAAAGAGGAGTCAGAGGTGCCAAAAATAACGGAGTCGGAGTGAAAGGTTTTGTATTCTGACTCCACTGCCCTGGAAAACACCATGAATCAAAAAAAAAAGGTTTACTGTTTTTAATTTGGCTCAAGACCTAAAAAATACTTATATTGCTTTCAATATCACTTGGAAAGGATTCAGATATTTCATCAATGGATCCAATATCAGGATGAAAGAGAATGTCGTCTTTTATTCCATCCATTGTGGTTCTGATACATTTCTTAAATGTTTTAATTGCTATATCAATTCTTTTTTTGCCAAAAATTCTTCATGGACACTCTTTCCTTTGTCTACTAATAGTCAATTTTTTTTTTATTGAAATCAGACCAAGTAAGGCAGTAAAGACACTAATACACAAGAGGATACTGTGTGTGAAAGGGTTAGAAAACAGAAGCATTATTGAGAAGTGAGAAAAATAGAAACATAATCAGGTAGGCCGTAAATAACGATTGACATGGCATTTTTTTTTTTTAAGCATTTCACCCCAAGCAAGGCAGGAATCCATTAGGACGCAAGGGGTTACAGAAAATTTAGAGCAAGATCAGATAGGAGTGATAGAAGAAAGGATGAGGGTAGTGGATAGATCAAGGCAACTGGAGATGTCGATTGACATTACACTTGAATAGCTGGAGATTATAGCTCACAGGGAAACAGGAATAGGGAAGGGAGTGCCACAGGCGAGAGGTGTGAGACATGAAGCTATTAGAGTAGAAGAGACGGCTACATTTAGGAGTTTCGACAGTGAAGGGGTGAGAGTGGGATGCCAGCCTCGTAAGGTGCTGGAACTCATGAATATTTGAAGATTAAACTTGTCTAGAAAGCAGCATGAAACCAGAATAGAATTCCTTAAGTGAGAAGTGCAAGAAAAAAAAACTATTAACAAGGAACTTATGCTTACATCTGAACCAATTCAGCGGTGAATTGATGAGACCTTACTGCCAATCTAGTACTGAAATTAAATTCATAAAGTCTAGGTACCATAAAAGTTTATTTGAACTACTACAATGAAAGTATTTATAGACAAGACACAGGGAAGCAACTTTATGGCAGTGGAAAAGTGATTGAAGCCAAGGTGCCAGGTCAGGACCAATAATATTGCTGATTCTTCTTTGGATTTTATCGAGAATCTCTAAATATATAGTAGGAGCACCAGACTACATGTGTCAACAATATTCGAGGCATGGACGAATGATAGACTCATATATCTATAAGATAAATTGAGGCGAGAATCATTGTCTAGCATGAAACAGAGAACCAACTTTCTTAGCAGCAGGCCAAGTAATAACAAAATCTTTCTTCCATATCCAGTTGTTCCACTTCTCCTTCATGAACACATTGACTGCCAGAGGTCAATTAAATCTGACTTCAAATGCCAACTTTATAACAGCCAACTGAGGCAATAAAAAATTTTAAGACTCAATTTATAGCTTCATTTTTCAAATGTTTTGTTTATGCATATTTTCAATACATTATTCAAATAAAAAATTCGTTTTTAGATGCCAGTACCATTTTTCCTTTCTGACTTAGACATCAGGTACCAGTTATTGGCATTAAAAACAACAACAAATTCTTGGTTGTAAACTGGTTGGCAAGACCACAAAAGCAAGATAACATCATTATAAAAATTACCAACCACAAGTTATCTTGTGGTTGGCAGTCAATATGTTAGGCTTAAAGTGTTTGTCAATAGAAATATCAAGATGTTGAAGCTGACTTTATAAGCTGCCAGGTGTAACAGCCAGTTGTGTTTATAGCTTTTTTGGTTTTACCTATATTTATTTTGTATTTTATGAGCTGTAAAGGAATCTAGATGAGGAGAGAAGGCTTTTTTAATAAACCCTCTTGGATGATTCTACCAAATTTTTCCAAACCAAAGTTCAGTTTTTATTCAGACATTTATTATCAGTGTATAAGATGCAAGGAGATTTTGATGTCAAATCTGCAGGTAAAAAAAAAAGTTGGCTTACTTACAAAAAATAGAATAAAATTAATTATTATAATCAAAGTTTGGAGTATTTTTAGTGATGTAAAGTTAGTTATAAAAATGAATTTAATAAAGGAATGTACTTTGTTCCAATGTTTTTCTATCTTAAATTATATCAGTTAGTTATTGCTATCTAAAAGATACTGTCTTAATGTATTCACAATATCATATTCAACTAATTCAGTACATGATACTTATTTCAAATGTTTGTGTTTTGAATATATTAAAAATTTATTTAGAGATTCTAGATAAAATACAAAGAAAAATCTGATGGATTTTATTTTACAAGTATTTATAAACAAAAGTAAAAATGTTAATTTTTAAATTTAAGAGACGCTCATAAATATTCATCAGGTTAATTTTTTTTTAAATATATGTTTAATTTTTTCATGCAATTAATTTTTTAAATTATTTTAGTTTGAGATAAATTTATATATTATATATTTTAAATAATGGGAAGTTATGAATTTAACCATTTTAACTGTCAAAAGAAAATTCTTACATTTACTTTGTTAAAGTCAGTCAGAGGATGAAATGTGTTGGCTAAGATAAGTTTTTCTTTTGTTTTTATTCATCTATATATATATATATATATATATATATATATATATAATATATATTATTATATAATTAAAAAAAATATGATTCCAACTCGCGACATAAGAGGTTTCATGTTTCAAAACAGGAGCTGAAAACTTCAATATAATTATTTGAATTAAATTGAGTTAAAGTAAGCTCTGTTCCATCTTCAAGCAAAATTTTTTTTGGAATAACGTATTTCTGAAATTTACGTGTTTTAATAGTATATTCAGAATTGAAATCAAAATTTCCATGGTAACAGCCAGGGCGATTGTTTAAATTGGGTAGGCGTGTGTTGGGTGTTAATAATAAGTATCAGTATAAAGTTACTTTCATAGATGTCAAATCAGGGTAAGGTGGGGGTGTCTAAATTTGAAACAGAAGATGTTTTCGCCTAGTCTGGTTTACGTGTCTATGGAGATTTATTTATTTTTTTAATTTTATTTCTTTATGAAAGGGATTTGTGCATATAAAAACTGCCGTAACATATATATAATATATAAAATATTTAAAAAAAAAATATATATATATATATATTTAAAATATTTTATATATTATATATGTTTTAATATATCCATTAATATATATATTGATATCTAAAATATTTTATATATTATATGTTATATATGTTTTAATATATCCATTTTTATATATATATATTAGTTTTTTGCTGACATGTTTCATCTTCCAATTTTTCAAGGCGAAATTGAAATTATTTTCTTGTTATAGTTACATTACAAAATCCAAATTTAAAAAAAGAGAGATGCTTCTGCATAAATCTCTTTCTGGTTAATGTAAATTTCCTTTATACTAAGAGTTTTTTTTTCTTTCCATTGGAATCATATATGCTTTAGCATGAATTTGGTTGTCTGACCCAGTTGAGCACTTTTTGGCTTAATGTTTTAGCTCCTGTACCATGACACCGGTTTCTCTTGTTATTGAGCACTTTTTGCTATACTGGCAAGCCTTTCCAGGTTGAATTTTTTTTTTTTTTTGGCATTTTAGATCTTGGCTGGGTGATCTACCCTCCCCAGTGTGCGAGTTTGGTTTGCTTGTCAAATTGTACCTGTCTGGTGGTATATAAGGTAATCATCTTATTACTTCAAGTTACTGGCTACCTGAAGATTGTGTGCAAATGCATGAAACTTAAAGAAGTGGCCAGTCATTATCTATCTGGTTATTGAATTAATATTCAAATGCTCTGTCATTTTTATGCTAGAGGGCTAATTTTGGGCAGATTTTATTAAGAGCTGCTTATTCAAATCTTGGGATTATATATATATATATATATATTAAAAATAATATACACTTTTTCTGCTACCACCATTTCCACCTAAATGGTTTCTTCAGGCAGTGAAAAGATCAATTGGTTTACTATACATTATTTATACATATTATATTATTACAAGTAAAAAAGGTAAAGTTAAAGTAGAAAAAAAATTGGGAGGGGAGGGAAGACAGGGGGGAAGAAAAAAGAAGTGGGGAAGAAAAGAAATAACACTTTGGTACTCTCATCTAGGTTCATATTTTTCTAATAAATACTTCTTTGCATGTTTACAAGCTGCCATTATCTCAGACCTTTCATGCTTTCTCACTCTGGATACAACATAATAGCCAGCTTTTCTTCCTGACACAATCTACACATGCTTAAAAAAAAAATCTCAAAATAAAGTACTTCCTCTATTATTTGTACTTCGATTTTCCGAAATTTGATTATCTGTACTTGAAATGATGAGAAAAATTAAAATGATCCAAATATTTTTCAATTATCCAATCTTTCTAAGACTTCATCTCAGAGAAGCATTTTGAGAATTAAAAAAACATATTGTTCAATTTTTCAGTTTCACAAACCGAAACAATGCTTAAAAAGGCTTATGTTTGATAATAAGTTGATCGCCCTTACAACCAGAAGCTAAAACCTAAAATAAATACATCTAGCTTTACAACCTTAATTTAGCCTTCAGCTTCAGGAGTCAGCGACAGTATGAGGCCAACTGGAAAAATTGATGCAGTTTTTCATCAGAAATATAAACGAAGAAGGAAATTACTGGAATGTAATTGAAACTCACCTGAAGCGAGCTGAATGTGTAATGCTCCTCATGCCAATGACACTTCCACCTAGCTTCTCTACGGCATATGACTTCACTGAATTTTGAAGTGTTCCTCTCGAATTTATATTTAAACTGGGGTCATCAGGAGAGAATGTGCACCGTTTCGGGGCTTTCAACGGTTTCAGTTGCACCCCCCTCACTGATGTGAGGCCCCATTATAACGATATAAACAAATCATCAATGATATCATCAGAAATATAAACGAGACAAAAAACCTTAAACAAAGATGTTTATAAATTTCTTTCAAAAAGTGATTTTTTTCTGAATTCTTTTTCGATAAATATCCAATCATTCTGAATTTCGAATTATCTGAACATTCAAATCGTTTCCTTTTCATTGCGCACTCTGGTTGGGTTGACCTTTGCGATCGCTGTAAATGTGGACGACTTGGGTGAGCTATTTCTAAGTGTGGGGCTACATTCACGCTCGCCCCAATAAACAAGCCAAAAAACATATTTTTCTTTCTTTTTTGTTTTTCTTAATTGTAAAAATTCCTTGTAAGTACCTACCATCCGCACTTACGAAATGTGAATAACTCCCTGATTTTTGGTAATTTTTCATTTTGAGGGTTGGAGTTGTGAGGCAAAGTAAAAACAAAATTTATAATTTCAAACAAAAGTGTGCCAAAAATTGAATACAAAAGAAAGAAAAATATCTTTGATTTAAATCAAAGATATTTTTCTTTCTTTAAATTTTAAAATTTAATTTCTCGGGGTGAATTATTTGCGATAAGTAACTTTATTGTTTAGTGTGAATTAACAGAAAAGATAAAAAAGATAATTAATTGTCAGATTTTAAATGAAACTATCTATCAGGACTTCGCAAATGAAAAATTATTTTTGAAACGTTTCTTTTTCTTTAAAACCCTATCTTTGCTATTTTAAAACTTGTTCTCGGCTTCAAGAAGTGGGAGATTCCATATTTCTGGAAGGAATGGATAGCGGAACACAGTGCTGTTTTTTTTTCCTTTTTTTTTTCCAACACACAATCGAGAGAATACAAGTATCGAATTCTTCATTCATACGACCAGGGACGGTATTTAAAAAAAAAAAAAAAAACCTACCTCGGTTGCTCCCAGATCTTTAATAATATCATAGGCAGTACGCTTGTTTTTTGTTCTTGAACGATAAACTTTTAGAAGTGATGCTTCTTGCCGTTTAACAGTTTCTTCATTATCAGGACACGAGTCTTTAAGAACTTCATTGTTGAAACCGAGGTCCGTCCAGAATCCAGATATCGAAGACATTTTCAATAAAAGCAACAACTGGAAAACTACGATAAGTGTTGTTGACATATTTTAATTTGTGATACTGTGACGGCTCTAACAAGGCTGGTTTGACTTAATTTAAAACTCCTGTTTCAAATAGTAGACTATTTTTTATTTATTCTAGAACAGTTTGAGAGAGAAACTGTTCACTAAATCAACGCGAAGAAAACATCTTTCAAACGAATAAACGTATTTTCACTTTCATTTATTTATATAACATAAAATTTCCAAGAAATAACATTGACTTTCAGTTTTGATTGAGATTGTTACGGATGGCCAAAAGGGATTAAATTTATTTGTGTAGCATAAAAAACTAGATTTAAGTAGTAAAACCATTTTTTAAAATACACATCTTCGTTACAAAAAAAACCCCCAAAAACCTAGTGAAACAGTTTTTTTTTTTTCTTATGCTTCTAAAAGTTAGAAAAATATGAAATAACAGTACTGAATTTGGCTACAATGTTTCAAATAACGAGTTTATGTCTTTTTCTCTAAGTACTTTTATGTCAATACGTTATCTTATAAGTACTTATTTTTGACGTTTAATAAAAAAAAATAATGAATTTGTCATTTATTCGAGGCCTGGCAGTGTCGAGTGGATTCATTGTATTTTATACATAAACTACCGAAACCCTATAATCCTAACGAGTACAAAAGTTGTATCAGTACATTTTTATACTAGCGACGTCGCTCGTAACTTGTCATAAACCACAATTAACGGTGGTAAAATTTATTTTAAAACTGCAAATTATTTACGTTTTTATAAAGTTTTTAAAGTCCATGTGTTAGTAGGATGTATTAGTATCCGAAACAGTAGTAGAGATAGGATAAAGTGGAAAAGCTTTTATATATATATATATATATATATATATATATATATATATATATATATATATAATTCGCTTGAGGATGAAATGGAACTAATGTCTTTAATTTAATTACAAAATTAAATTCGAAGCTTTTAGCTTCCATTTTTGAAACATGGTTAGAACTGTGCAGCGAAAAAAAACCATATTTTAAATCAGTTAATTTATAATATTAATGCTCTGTAAATTTACATTGAGCACTATTTTGTAAAATTAAAAATATCTATAAGAACACCGGATTATATATCTTACGAGTTCTTTCTTTATATTTATATATATTTATATATATATATATATATATATATATATATATATGTATATATTACAATGAATCATTCATACAAAAAGTAATTTAGTAAAGTTAATGATATAAAATGGCGAAATCCTTTCACTAACAAAATTTTTAAAGGTGCATTAACCTACCAATCACTCAATGAATGTTATGATCCTTGTTTTTTTTTAAATTAAAAGCTGTATAATGTCTTTCTTTCATACAAAGTACATTCAACTGTACATTCAGTTATATTCAGGCATGGAAATTATTTTGTTTTTTGGTAATTATTTTGTTTTTGTATGAATGATTCATTGTAATGTAAAAATGGCATATTTGATATATATATATATATTACTATATATAAATATTTTTTTTGGTATGTTTAACGTTGGTGCATTAACTACCAATTTTCACGCCTCAATGAATGTTATTCAGATCCTTGTTTCCAAATACTTGTATTTTTTTAAATTAAAATAACAGTTACCTGTAAATATTCGTTCAATGTCTTTCTTTTCACTGTAAAAACAAGAGCTTTCACATTCATATGACGTTTTATTTGTTTACATTCAGTTATATTCAGGCATGGAAAATTTCATCATAAAATGTAAATGTTATTTCATACTGTTTATTTTTAATTAAATAAATTGTCGGAAATCGTCCATTTTGTTTTTCGACACGCCCTGCAGTTATGAATTTTCATACGTATGGAAGATTGAATGATTCATTTCCGTAATGAAAATTCTCGGACATTCAGGCCGGTAAATGTTATTTAATATTTATCATAAACAGAATTTGCTTAAATTTGTTCTATAAAATAACAACGTTAAACATATGTTTAAAATGTCTTTATTAAATAAATTGTCACCCTCGTCCCTGTTTATTTAACATATGACGCCATTTGTTTACATTTGATTGTATATATATATAATATAGGTATATATATATATATATATATATAAAATATATATATTTAATACTGTTTATATATATTGTATCTATAAAAATAACAACGTAAACATATATATATATATATATATATATATATATATATATATATATATATATATATATATATATATATATATATATATATATATATATATATATATATATATATATATATATATATATATATATATATATATATATATATATATATATATATATATATATATATATATATATATATATATATATATATATATATATATATATATATATATATATATATATATATATATATATAATATATATATATATATATATATATATATATATATATATAATATATATGTATGTATGTATGTATGCATATATATTTGTGTATTTAGGCATCAAATTCTCTTTAAGCATGACTGATTAAATAAATTACAGACATTATATCTGTCTATTTTTAATTTAGCATAACCTACTCATACTCATGAATAACCTTCTGTGTATTACAATCAAATGATGCAAGGAATGCGCTATAATTGTGAAAATCACTTTTATTTCCCAAGTACTTTCCATCTTCTTTTGGCGGTCATCTTCAGGGGTGCAAGTAGTAAGGCAAAACTTTGTGTTGCTATTTATTACTGAAAAAAAAAAGAAAAATTTTCAGGCGTGGTATTTGAATGTGGCCTTGTAAAAAGCAGATTGAAGTAAATAATATTAACTTGAAAGCACTCAACAAACAGAGGAAAGAGATGCACAACACACTACAAAGGAATACCTCCCCTAAAAGATCAGAATGTAAACATCTCTCATCTTTTAACATCAATACACTGAAGGTTATTCGTGAGCATGAACAGATTTTGTTAAAAATTAGCAGACATAATGCCTATAATTTATTCAATCAAACAATCCTAAAAGAGAATTTGCTGCTTAAATACGCACACACACACACACACACACACACACATATATATATATATATATATACATACATATATATATACACACAGACACATATATACACACACACACACACATATATATATATATACATACATATATATACACACAGACACATAGACACACACACATATATATATATACACACACACACATATATTTATACACACACGCATATATATGCATATATACATACATATATAATATATATACACACATATATAAATACACACACACACACACACATATATATATATAAATACACACACACACACACATATATATATATATATATATATATATATATATATATATACATATATATATATATATAAAACATACATACATACATATATATAAACATACATACATACATATATATATAAACATACATACATATATATAAAAACATACATACATACATATATAAACATACATACATACATACATACATAAACATACATACATACATACATATATATATATATATATATATATATATATATATATATATATATATATACATATATGATAAATTTGTTCATATATATAAAATATATATTAAATATGCTTTCTGGCAGGGTTTTTTAAAATAAAATCTATTTCAAACACTGGTATCTGCTAAAAATAAAAATGAAAGTAAGAAAATTGTCAAATTAAAAATAAATCCATTAATTCATTGTTTAGCAATATATATATATATATATATATATATATATATATTGGAAAACTATATCAGAACAATTTTAAGAATCTATTAGTTGCTCAACATAATGAGTCTAACCATAATTTAGATTTATAAAATGCTGCTATAATTAAAAGGGAAAGAATTTTTTTAAGATTAAATCTATAGAAAGTGCTTTAATTGGTAGATCATACTCAGAAAATTTATGTTCAAGTTCTTTCAATATTTCATCTTTCTTGGCAGATCTTTTATTATCACAATGGGGGGGGGAGATTTAATATCAAAAAGTGATAAAATCATAAACAAAAAGAAAAAGCAACTCAAATGAAATCAGCTAGACTAGATACCCAAACATATTTAGAGAAGAAAATTAAAAAATTGAAATTCACTATCCTTTTTCATTCATGTGAAATCACATCATCATAAACATTACTTTAGTTTGATGCAATCCTAAAGAATGAAACATGTCACAAGAAAATTTTTGTTTCCACTTTGTTTTTTTATATATATATATATATATATATATATATATATATATATATATAGGTAGTAATCCATTGGTATAATCCAAGTGAGTCCTATTAACACAACATAGAATTTGAAATATGTTAAAACTGACTCACAAAAGAGTGCTTCATGTTTATTTACAATAAACAGAGCAAATTTACTTTACAATTGGAATTATGATACCTTTAGTAAGTGAAAATGGTCATTTACTAAAGGTATCATAATTCCAATTGTAAAGTATATATATATATATATATATATATATAAAACAATGATATTCATCCTGTACAAGGCCTGTGTTTCAGAGTAAGAGTCACAGTTTATACTGATATGTGGGGAAGATAGCAGTTAACCAGAGACATGAACAGGTTAAGATTTTAATGATCAGGGAAGCACACTCTTGGGTGTTGGTTCCATAAAGGAGTAGTTTGTGGGAAGAAGCTGCTCAATTGGAACTTCCATCTCACCAATGAAGGGTATGATGTGGGGTTCGTTACAACGGAGCTTACCAGAAATAATGGTTTCACCAAGTTTCTCTATTCTGCTCATATATTTCGTTGATATTTTGAGCTCAAATATATCCCATTTGCTGATGTATAAGACAAAGTTAAAAACAAATCTAAATATTACACAGCATCCATTCAACATGTAGGTATGATAGACAAGTGATGGGGATACAAAAATTTTTAGAATGGCTTCTCTCAACAGCAGGTTTCAATAGTTAACTGGTTTCCCTCATTTTTTAATAGTCTATACTTTACTATATAGATATAATTTAGGAATAAAGCAAATTTTTCTTTCATTTATTCAAAAATACTAAAATTAATCTCTATTACATTGCACATTATCATTTTGAAAGGAAAAATAATTAAAAGGAATGCTTTAAAATCTTTTATTTGTGATCTTTCATCTTAAAAATTTTCAAATGGCCACTTGATTATCACCATAGTTTTCAGCTTTTTTTGCCTCACTCTGTTGTCATCAGCACTGTGATTTTTTTCTAAGTCATGTTTTAACCAAAGGAGTGGCATCCCATAAATCTAAAGGGATACTAATTCAATTGATTATCATCAAGTTTGCTGCATTTTCCAATGTAAGGCAGCTTCTTTTATCCTGAGTAGATAATATTTATTCTTGAAAAACCTCTTTCTGTCTCAGAAGAACTGATAGAAATCATATTGATAATAGTTTTTGCTTTTTATACACTTTGAGGAATTACAGGATTTTGAAAGTTTTTCAGGACATTTTCCACATCGTCAAGAAAATCATTAATAGGAATATTGTGATGAAAACTTTTACTGAAGCCATTCAGCTTCCACAGCTTTCAAAGGAATAACTATTTCTTGAATATTTCAAGTATTTGGCTCTAGCAAGTTCAGCAGTTCATGAAATTTGTATTAATCTTTATTCAATCACCTGAATTTACATTCCCAACTAATTATAGGACTACAATTTGTAGATAATCTAAAATTAGCAGTTTGTTTGTTTGGGTTTCAGCTAGCAAGAGGTTTGCTGAGTTCATAAAATTCCAAGAACAGGTTTGCACGAACCTGTCGAGTTTTGCCAATGATTATAGATAAATGATGGTCCAACAAAACCTCATGCTGTACTACAATGAAGTGCATTGACATTCTACAACTTTAGAAATACCCTTGTGAACCAATGGTTTTGTTATGAATTGCACATTTTAATTTGTATTAAAGAGGGTAAAAGAAGGTTTATTGTTCTACTGAGCTTCATAGTTAATGCACTGCATGAAAAATTGGATTAATAGCTTAAAATACGTGGGTTGGTTGTTTTTGTTTAGCAGCATATCAACTGCTATAGGTTATTTAATGTCAAAATCTAAATATTTTGTACACAATTCTATTGTTTCTTTGGAGATAATAATGGTTTTAGTGATACAGGCTTACTAATTAACTCATAGCTGGGTGGAGAAGAAGTGGATTCATGCCTTTTCCTAAGGTATTTGCACATAAGTGAATATAAGAAACCTGACTGGAATTGGAACTTGGCTCACCAATTAACAATTCTGAGCCATTATCCATTACATCACCTGCACATTGAACTTACAGCACTTGGTATTCCCAAGTGGTCACCCATCTATGTACTGACTCGATGCTGCTTAACTTTGGGGATCATATGGGGAACTAGTGTTTAAATATGATGTAGCCATGAACCCTTAAAACTGGTGTTTTTTTTTTTTTCAAAATCATAAGTATATTTTTTTATTTTACATACTTGTTTCTTCCTCACTTTTATTTCAAAATATGCAACGGCATATAAGCATGCATCTATTTATTTAACATCAAGTCATGTGACACATACAGCCTCTTCACCTTTCAAGAAGTTGTTTATAAAAGAAAGTTCTAATCTAATGTAGTGAATTGTATAAATATATGTTGTGTTATGGATATTTAAATTCAGTTAATAATGTTGTTATAATGTATTATGAATGTTTATTATTTTTCACACACATAATAGTTGGAATATAATATACAAGTGTTTGTTTATATATGCAGAGTAATATAAGAATGTGTATCAAAAATAGGGGGGGCACTTGAGTAATGGATAGCGGCTTGGATTGAGGAATCAGAGAGCCAAGTTTGAATTCCAGTAGAATCCATTACATTCAGTTACATGCTAATACCTTTGGGAAATGTATGAATCTGCTTCTCTCCCCAGCTATGTGTAAATAGCAGGACGGACTGGGTTCTATAGCCTTGGATGGTAACTGGTCTACCACAGAAAGAAATGACAACCTGCTGCGGGGAAAAAAATCTGCCTCGTCAGTCGTGTTCTGAAAGATACATGATCACCTAAGTGTGTATCATGCATGGTACATAACTGACTGATCAAAAATAAATACTGAATTTCCTGTAAAAACAGAAAAATGACCTGAGCTAAAGAACCCCCTGTCTAATTTTAATTAAATTTTGTAGTGTACTAGCAGCATGGCCCTGTGTTGCCTGTGCTTGATTCAAAAATCATACGACTCATACAGCAATCGCTATCACTTGACTTAAAATATTTTTGCCCTTCCTTGCCTTTAAAGGAGTGCCCTTTGCTGTGCTGATGTTGCTACATGCCTTACTTCTTGCCTATCTCACACTGCAAATTTTTTCTAAGCTCTATACTAAACATTAAATCTGTTACGAAAAAAGAACTAAATAAAATGAACACAAAACGATCAGCTTTAAAAAAGGACTCATAACTGGAAAAACCGAATGAAAAAGGAATGTTAACAACAAATACTTTTTCACACCCAACCCAGTTCTGCGGAATCAGAATCAACGTTGAGTTTAAGCTGGCCAATAGAATCTTCCTGCCTATTTGTAGCAGCCAGCTATAGGCTCTCACTCTGGCCAGTAGAAAATGGCCGCAAACTACATGAAAACTGCCATAGAAGCATGAAAAAATCGATTATTTCCACTATCAATGGGAGTTGGGAAATGCAAAGTCTGTCTTGACCTTTCCGCTAACTTGGAGCATGTGCATGTAAATTTTGGTGCAAATCTGTCGAAAATTGCGGCTATGCATTCATTACACGCACACACACACACCCTGCCTTTTATAGATAGAGATTCAGCATAGCTTCAAAGTAAAATATATATTTAACTAGGTTGGGATATTATGTATCATTTATGCTGTATCTTGGGAATACATACAAGATCAGTGTTTTAGCATTATCTAGATATGTTCAACTGAGCTTCATATCAATCAGTTATGTTATAAATATTCAAAGATCATTCTTGGATATATTAGTGGTTCTTCTTTTCTTCCTTCTATATGCTGTGTCCTTTCTGGATATAGGCAATCATGGCTCTCCATAAATTCCTATTTTTTGTAGCTCTTCGTATGTATTATCATTTTATTATCTCTCCCAATCCTTGTCTGCCAACCATTTACACACTCATATTAGGTAGGTTACTCACTGCTTTCTGCTGTCCTTTTGCCTTCTTGTGAGTCTCAAATTTTCTCTCCTCTTTATGTGCCCTAGAAATTTCAACTGCCTCTTTCGGTTTCTAAGTGTTGTTTTTGCTTCCATTTTGCTTTAAAACTTCTTCATTACTTACATGTTCAGTTCCTGGTACTCTCAGCATCCTTCTGAAGAACCACATTTCTATTGTTTGAAATCTTTTCTTTATCTGTGAAGAGACTGTCCAGAATTCACTAACTGTAAGGACTAATTGGTTACAGCCAATTGATTAATGCCAGCCTTAAAATGAGGTGTTTATAGCAGACCACTTCCCTGTTATTTTACTGGCTGTAGCACCTAAACAATGCCATGATATTCTCTAAGTTTCCCAGTGGCAATCTTTAACATCACAAAACTTGGAGTCTGGACAATCAAAGAAGATAGCTGGACCATCTTGGAAATCCTGGAATCTTTTTATCAGCAGCTTCGGAAAAAAAAAATTTAAAATGGGAAATTTTATGACTTTACTTAGCACATCTGTATGTTTTATTATGCCTCATGTTTTTATTTTTTACAAACAAGACTGATCATCAAGAGATGGGAAAATTAGTACATCTTTCTCTAGAGTTCTTATCCATTTTGGTAACGCTATATGAGTGATGAATGGTGGCAATTAGCAGATGATACTTATGACTAAGGTTTGCAAACTATTCATCAATCATCATTCTTAACTAGAATCATTAAGTTAAATCCAAATGCGCAAAATAGTCATCTATTTTATTTCTGAACAGGCTTCCATAGTTGTTTGACAGATAACTTGAAGTTAATGAATCAAATTATATTTTTTTTGGAGGAAAAAGTTGAGTGCAATTAACGAGGAAGTCATTTTGTCATTTTTTTTTTGTTTGGTTTATTCATTTGATATAATAATGTAACTAAAAACTTTATATATATATATATATATATATATATATATATATATATATATATATATATATGTGAGAGAAAGAGAGAGAGAGAGGAACAAACATATAAAAGAGTGGGATGGAGACAGGAAGCTACAGAAATATAAAGCATAGGAGGGATTATTTTATATATATATATATATATATATATATATATATATATATATATAGAGAGAGAGAGTTAGGAACAAACATATATAAAGAGTGGGAATGAGAGACAGACAGACAGACAAACAAATAAACAGAAGTATAAGGAGTAGGAGGGAGAGACAGATAGGAACAAAGAAATATATAAAGAGCAGAAGAAAGTCAGGAAAAATTTAAATGCAATGCCATTCATTATCGTCTGTTTTCTTAATTCTTGTTCTTTTCCTGTCCTCTCTCCTTTATAGTAGTTTTTCTCATATTCTCTAACACTCAGTAACTCCTTGTGTCCTAGTGGCTTTATTGCCTTGCTTGGGATGAAATGATTAATAAAAAAAAGAAAAAGAAAAAAGAAACAGATATATAAAGAGTGAGAGAGATAGAGAAAGAGATAGGAACAAATAGATATATAGAGTAGGGGAGAGAGACAGAGAAATAGAAAAGAAACAGCTATCTATGGGGGAGAGAGAGAGAGAGAGAGAGAGATAAGAACAAACAAATATATAAAGATTAGGAGAGAGATAAGAACAGTTATATAAAGAGTGGAATAGAGAGGCAGATTGGAACAAAAAGATATATAAAGAGAAGAAGAGAGTGAGAAAGAGAGAGAGATAAGAACAAACATATATATAAAGAGTGGGAGTGAGAGAAATAGAGAAAGAGAAAGGTTTAAATAATAGAGTAGGTTATTTATTTCCTATTTTGTTCATTCTTTCCTATCTATTAACATTCTTGCTTTTTTGGGGCAATGATCTCTGGTGAATTCTCGGAAAGACAAAAATGGAATGGAAGTAATTTTAATTACCATATTTTATGATTTTACAAACTTACTCTAAGAGCATCCTGCTTTCGCATCCATTACCTGCAAAAGAAATTAGTTGGATGCTTTTTTACATTGATGTTCACCCTGTACCCGGGAGCCACTCAAGGTAGAGGGTTACAGAGTAAGAGGCACAGTTTATGTGGATATGTGGTGAATTAAACAGTTAACCCTAGACTTGAACAAGTTAAGATTGTAGCAATTGGGGAAGCATGCTCTTGGGAGTTGGTTCCAAAAAAAAGCAGTGGTTCATAGGAAGAAGCTGCTCAACTTACATCTCACCAGTAGAATATGAAGGAAATAAGGTGGGGTTTGCTACAATGTGCATGGCATGATGAGTCTTAGGACTGGTGGAACTAAGGAATATAGTTCGTCTAGCCTTGTTCAAACTGTTGAATATAGCAGAGTATACACTCTCTCCTAAAATTGCAACTAGAATTTTCTCAGCATAGCTGCAGTATAAACCACAGTTTGGCCCCTGTGGGTGTTGAGGTGTTGAAGAAATATGAATGGGCCTGAGATTAGCTAAGCACCCTACCAGACAGGCATACATGGATATGAGCCTGCTATGTACAGGGTGCGATGGATAAATTGTCATGTAATTTTAGGCAAAAATGAAAATAACACTGACATTTCATTTTAATAGATATATTTACCAAAATTACACAAAAATGTCTTGAAATACTAAAGAGTAAAGAAATAGAATAAAATCACCATTGCCTTCAGCCACAGCCTCCAGATGATTTTGGAATCTCCTGCAACTCTTCTGGATGGTCTCCTAATTTAAGTTGGTGAATGCTGCCATAATCCTTGTTCATCTTTGGTGTTTTTGATGGTCTCTCGCTCAACTGTGCCGCACACATAATAATCAAGGGGTTGCAGTATGGAGAGTTAGATGGCCAGATATAAGGAGTGATGTGGTCGCAAAATTGTCTGACAACCATGACTTGGTTCTCCTGCTTGCATAGCATAGTACAGAGTCCTGTTGCAGCAGCCACCCTCTTGACCCAGGGCAGCACTATCTCCTTAAAGCACTTGATATAGGCCTCCATGTTGAGTCTGAGGCTCTCACCAATGAATTCGGGAATAGTTATCTAATCAGAACAACCAGACTGAGTTTTCCAAGCTTCACCATTAGACTCATCCAACTCTTTCCAAATCCTCACAACTGTCCTCAGATTGACAACCAAACACTCTCAAATGTTCGTATTGGAGTTTCCCGCACAGATGCCAAGAAATTCAGCATGTGCTATGGGGGCTCTTTTTCTCACAAACAATGCCCAACTGACCTTACTATATTGTGCCGTGTGTGAAACTGTATTGTTGCCGTGTGTGAAATTCAATCTGGATAAACTGAAGAGTGTGAGTTTTAAACGATTTCTTGAGTTTGAGTTCAGTCCCTTACTCTGGGTACTTTACTATTATTGGGTAGTATGTGTCATACATCAGATCATGCCAGAATAGACTTTGCACTCAATATCATACCAGACTATCAAGGGTTGATGTGCAGTAACATCCTAGCCACTAAGTGCAAATACATGTAACTGGACTGGCTGTATTAGGATTGCAAGCATGGGAAAGAACTATATTAAGTGTAGTAACATAAACAAATATGCCTTCCAAAAGCTAAGCAAAGTATTAAGAAACAGAAAAATTTCATTAGAAACATAGAAAAGAATACTGAACTGTTATGTAATATCAGTCCTCCTATATGGCAATGAAGGCTGGACAATCTCCTTACAGATAAAGAGATTTGAAGCAACAGAAATATGGTTCTACAGAAGGATGCTGAGAATACTATGGACTGAACATGTGAGCAATGACAAAGTTCTAGAGACAATAGCAACAAGAAGGAAACATATACTTAGCATCAAGAAGAGAGAGTTGAAATTTCTAGAGCACATAATGAAGAAAGAGGGCTTGGAAAATCTGATACTCACAGGACAGGTTGAAGGCAAGAGGGAGAGAGGAAAACAACACATAACCTACTTTGTGAGCTTAAGTAAATGGTGGAAGAGGGTCTAGGAAAGAAAACAAAAAGAAAAAACATTAGTAGTAGTTGCAAAGGTGATGATGTTGTAAAGAACCATGATCACCTACATAGAAGAAGACCCAAGCAAAAAGAGACATCACAGACAAGAATATAAGGTCCATGTTTTGGATGACAGGCCATAGGACTGCTCACACACACTGGCTGACAGTAATTGACCATGTATTGGAGTGAAATAAAATGTATTATTAAATATGAGATTCACATCATAATCATGGAAAAGTGACGCTTCTATTTAGACATCTTGATGTTGACAAAGACTTTTTCACTTCATGTGCTCTACAATTCTAATTGAATAGCACATGAAAGTTTTCACTATCAGAATGTTCAAAATGAAGTGTACAGGTTGAATCACCCTCATTTCTTCTGTATTCCATTTGAAAGGAGGAAGTCCTTTTCGTGAGGACTGCTGCTTTATGGAACAGACTCCTGTGTGAATGCTTCCCTGAACACTACAATCTTAATCTATCCTCCTCATCTTCACTTCATATCACCTGCTCTTACATTCATATCACATACTGCATTCAGTAACCATCTACCTTTGGTGGCTCTTGTGATTTTTATTGACGAAAGTTTAGTATGAAAATTGTTAGTTTGGTCTAACCTGGTTAAGTGTTAGAATGCATGAAGACTGTATAAAATAATGTATTTAGAAATTCATTTTGTTTTATTTTATGTTTTTCCTTGCTTTTTTTTTTTTTTTTGAGTTGCTTAATCCACACTGATGTCAGTAGTGGAGTTTCTTTAGACAGATGTTTACAAACAAGTTGCTTATAAAAGATAAAAATCGTGCATATATTCCCAGTAACTTCATAAGAAATGTATAAGGAAGTTAAATTGACAATTACAGAATCTTAATGTGCCTCATTCAGGCAAATCCTTATGCAGACGCCACTTGAACTGAATTTTTATTCCCCTTTTTTAATCTTTTATAAATTCGCATCAAGCTAAATTTTGTTTGCATGTCTGCCACTTTATACCAGTAAGACAAAACAGCCCATATATAATATCTATTAAGATTTGATACGTTAAATGAGGCATAAGGCCAAAAATTTGAGACAAGGGGAAAGCTGGTCTTCAACTGTTGCATCTTTAACTTATCTAGTCTCAATTGCTGACCCACTCATCAGATAAAGTTCCATTCACCAAAACATCACACTCTTACTTACCACATACAATTTCTCTATAAAAAGCTAATGAGATCTCAATGTACAATTTTTGTGGTTGGTGAGGAATAAAAATAACATCTTTTAAAAATCTGACCCCAATGCTTGAAAAATTACTATTTATAGAAAACTATGAATAAAACTTATTAATAGAAGCCACCTAACCAAGTCGTAAATGTGGCAGAAATATCAGTGAACCAAGTGAAATAATGCAGGATGAAATGATAATTAAATCATGCGCTCACACAATCACACATTCATCGAACCAGAACAAAAAATATAAAATTTACACGTTAAGATATTATAGATATTTACCAACCTTTTGTATATATTACTAAAAAATTGCAAATATTTAATTTGCATAACAATTTTTAAAAAGTATATTTAAATGTTTCTTCTGTAATTTATTTTTAATTCAAATTTAAAAAATTGTCAAATATAATTACAGTTTCTGTTGATTTCATTTATATCTGCCTTCTTAAAATTTAGTCATCCAGATACCTTGATCTATCCCCTATCCTTCTTTTCATCCTTTCCTCTATCACTCCTCTTTCCTCCTTGCATGCTAGTGGCTTCTCACCTTGCTTGGAGTGAAATGCTTAAAAAAGAAAAAAAAAAGAAAAGTTTGTGTTCCACTGGGTCTAGTGTGGAATGATAAATTACATGAGACTGGCCACTGAAAAGTTGGAGCAACACAAAGATGGCATGAGAAGTGGAAAACTCAACAATTTTATTAAAAATTGCAGCTGGATCTGTTTTTTTCTCAGTTTCCCTCGTATGACTGGAAATGCTTACAATCATAATAATCAACATTATTGATGTTGTTATAAACATCCCCCTTCCTATGGTAATTTATTTTCTTTATTAATTTATTTTTAACTTTTTTAAATTACAAAATAAACAATTACAAATCAAGGTTTGTTTTAGCTACAGTCCAAGGGCGATAACTCACTCACTTTGGGGGAAAAAAAAATTCTTTTCCATTTTTTTTTTCCAGTTTGTCTCACTGATTTGTGTGTATTTCCTCTCAGCACTATTGAGTGTATGTGAGGCAAATGCTATTATTTTTAAATTGCCCTTTATTTCTTGAAATGGAACTGCTCCAAGACCCTAAGTGCTAGCACCTGCACTAAGAACTGTAGGTCTGTTTGGACCATAGTATGATAGAATTGCTGTTTCAGTTAGTAATTCCTTTACTCTTTTAAAAGAATTCTCTTGTAGGTAACCCCACACAAATACTGTGTCCTTTTTCAATAATTTCATCATTGGTTGTATTGCTTCAGATAAGTTCTGTAAGAATTTGCCTAAGTATCTGATTATGCTATATATATAATATACTTCACTTAAATCTGTAGCTGCAGGCAACTCCTGAAAGGCTTTAGTTTTTCCTTGCTGGGCTGAATTTTGTCTCCTGAAATTATGTGTCCAAAATATTCGTTGCACCTTTTTGAATTCAAACTTTTCTTTATTAAGCTTGATTCCTGCTTTTTGTAACGTTTTAAAAGCAGTTTTTAGTCTTTTATTGTGTTTTTCAATAGTTCTACCATAGTTTAGAACATTGTTCATAATTGTTTCAACTCCTGAATATTTTTCAATAATTCTGACATTTTTCTTTCAAATATTTCCAAAGTTGATGTTATGTCAAAAGGTAACATTTTGAAGCAATATCTCCCACAAGGAGTACTGAAAGCTGAGTAGATAGCTTTCTTAATGGAATTTGGTAGAATCTGCATGTAGTATTCAATTTAGAAAAAAAATTAGCTCCATTTAACTTAGGCTAAATATCTTCTAAATTTGGTAACATGTAATGTTGCCTTTTCACTGTTAGATTCAGCTTCTTCAAATCTACATATATTCGGACTTTTCTGTTTCTTTTTATTATGGGCACATCATTATTAGGCGCACATCAATCAGTTGGTTCTGTAACCTTTTCAATAATTCCTTCATTTTCCAGTCTATTCAATTCTTCCTTCAACTTTGACAAAATAGGGAATGGGACTCTCCTAGATGTTGTTACAGTTGGGTAAAGTGTCTTTTTTCAGAACTATTTTAACTAGGTGTCCATTCATACACTCCCAGACATCACTTGATGTTTCATGTTCTATTTTGTCTAAACGTTTCACTAAATTCATTTTGTAGACGTTTGTCTAGACAATAAGTTCTCTCCCTTTACACATTTAATGACATATATCTCATATAGAATTTGTCCTTACCTTCTGTAGTAGTATTAAATCTTCCAATGTATTGGATTATTCCTCCGGGATTTGTGAAGGTGCCATTTACTGGTTTTAATAAAGGTGTTTTTTGGTAAACAATGTTTATGTCCATGCTTGTGTCGATTTTAAATATTACTGTATTTTGTTTTTTTAATTTTTATACCACAGGTCATTTAAATCTGTTTCTGTCAGCTTTCTTAGGAAATATTTCTTTTCTTCATTTATTGTCTGCATCATATTAGTTTTAGTTCTGCAGGCTACAGCAAAATGATTCTTTTTCTCGCATTTCTTGCAGTGCTTCCCTTTGGTCGGATAGTTTTTTAAATCTACTGCAGTCATTTTTTTTTTTTTCAGTTTTTCTTGTATTTCGTAAGTTTCTCTGGATCTTTACATAGTGTACATTTTTTTTGTGTATTTCTCCCCTTTGAGATGTTATTTTCTCACTGCTCCTAACCATCTCCATAGCTTTCTTGAGTTTCAAATCAGGAATTGTAATCTTTTGGATAGCACTTCATTCTGTAGTCCTATCACAACACAGTCTCTGGTTGGTCATTTTTCTTTGGAAACTCACATCTTTCAGCTAATTCATGCAATGTGCAAATAAAGTTTTCCACTGATTCTCCTGGTAACTGAAGATTTTACCCTTTTATGAATGATAAATCTTTTAGGCATGAAGTAATTTTTGAAAAATTCAATGCCTGAGTCTTACACATTTGTGTATTCAAGTTGTGAGAAAGGAATGTCTGCAATATATTTTCAGTTTGCTTCCTATACAATATATTAACATACTGATGAGTTTTGTTATCATGTTCCCAAAGTTCTGATGATTCTCAAAAATGTTGAAATCTCTGCCACCATTTCTGCTAATTTTCTATATTTATAAAGTCAAACGGTTCTGGTGAACATTTTTTCTTTTTCTTTTTTGAATAAAAAATATTTTATGAATTGGGCCCTGTAATTCTACCAGAAAATAATTTTCTTCTTACAGAAAGAATCCCTCTCTAACACCATGTTCCACTGCTCTTAGGGTGGAAAGATAAATTATATGAGACTGGCCACTGAAAAGTTGAAGCAACACAAAGATGACATGAGACGTGGTAAACTCAACAACTTTATTCAAAACTGATGCTGGATGTGTTTTGCTACCAGCATTTCCTAGTGTGACTTGAAATGCTTACAATCATCATAATAATCAACATTATTGATGTTGCTATAACAGAAAAATTACAGTGTTCATAATAAGCATTGTTATCATATGCTATTTCACATTAATACAAAAGTCAAATGAAGCTGAAAAAAATTACAGAATTAATAAGTCAAAATAATTTGTTGAATTAGATTTTCTTAAAAACTGTGCCGAATTATTTAAAGAAATGAAAAAATAGTGAGTTTGCCAAATTCATCATCATTATTATTATTATTAATATAAACATTATAAAATTATTCAAATATTTCTGATGGTCAGCTGCTCTATATATCTATGTCCAGGGTAGGAAATACAAGTGGAATTAGCATAGTAACAAAAAGAATTTTAGAAAATAGATGAAAATATTTATACAGAAATTTTAGCAATGTAAAATACTTGTACTACAAACTTGATATTAACGTGTTCATACTTGACTAGTTTAACAAATAAAATGCATTGATTTCAGATGAAAAAAATGGTGACTAATTGAATTAATGGTAAGATTCTAAATTAGTAAATCAGCACTTGTTATGAAATCTAATTGCATGGATAATATGTCAATACAAGTTACTTTTAAGCTGAATAAAAGTCATTACTAATTAACATTGGCCAGAGCATTTGTCTATGTTTTTCTGGATCAATTTCAATCAGATTTATAATTTATTTTCATAATCAAATTTTCAAAATAATTTATTTTCATAATCGAGAGTTCAAAATAATTTATCTTTAATATATTATTCCTTGTTCAATAAAAGCTAACCAAAATTTCAAGATTATTTGTGCTATTTACATACATAATATTGTCTTCATTTTTGCTGTTGTAATCACAACATTTTGGCTATTGTAGCCTTTGGACTTTATCAGGTGTAATATTAATTACCTACAGGTAATTCCTAACTGAACCCTATTGTTCTTGTTCCACTGCCCATGTCTAGAGATATCTCACCTGGTTTATATTTTTCTTACTGCTCAGTTATTGCTCATCCTGTTTTCCACAGATTCCAAGTACACACTGCCTGTCTCGTGGAATAAACACCCAATTACTATGTCACTAAATTCACAAATCAACACTTTGATGCACTAGGTTATTGTTAGTACGTGTGAGTTCAATCCTTGGGCCAGGCAGCCTACTTAGACTTAGTGGAACCAGGGCAAGCAATAATTGAGTAGTACTAAAAGTAAGAACTAGATGAGATATCCCTCGACATGGACAGTGGAATAAGTACAGTCTACTCCTGTAGATTAAATAAAGGGTTCAGTTCAGAATTCCCTGTAGGTTACCCTGGTCGATATACCCTTGGTGAAGGCTTGGAGACCACAATGATAACAACAATAAAGATGAGGATAATAATATGCTTGTAGATAATATAAATGATGTAACTCCTCATCTCAGAAATTCAGAAAGAACCATATTTCATTTATTGCCTAGTAATGAAGAGTTTACAGTTTGTTATAGATATTAAATGATCAAAAACTTTTTGCAAATAATTTAATGGATGGAAAGGTGGGTAGTTAAAAAAAAAGCAACCATTGTTCTTTATTTCTTACATAAACTGAATTTTATCCATTGACAGCAAAAATGTTGGTTGCCCAATGTTCATTCTAAAGTGTCCGAAATATTTTCAAATGTTATGCATATAAGAAAAAAGAATGCTGTAGAGAATTCACTTTCTAAAATGTCTTGTGTTTTTGTATGTTACAAGGCAGATTGTGCTACAAGCCTCATTTGTAGTTGCTGGTTGTATGCATCGACACATTCAAATGCCTCTTTCTGCATGGATTTGTAATCACACTCGGCAGTTTTGGAGCCAATATCTGTAAAAAAACAGACCGCTAAGGAAAATATCTAGGAAATGAAAGAGAGAAGAACATACAATGCTAATTCAGTGTATGAGGGCATCAACAGACTGTTAGATTCTTAGATCCAAAATAATAGTCTTCAGTTTATAAACAGTTTACCAAAATAACTTTTTGACATTTTTAAGAGTAAAAAGAATTATCCAAAAATAAAGAGGACATGTAATGGGGAAACTGGTTCTTGACAAATTTATTTTATTTCTGACAAAGTGAAGGGATCATAGCTATTAGGGAATGTTTTCAATACAATGATGTTTCCTGCTTTCTTTTTTTTCTACTATTGTTTACTTAATACAAAGCTCAAGTGCTACTCATGGTACAAGGTTACTGGATAGGGTTGTCTTAATAGTATGTCTGATCAGTTTGATAATGTCAAATTGGTAGCTGATCTCAAAAATGACCTACAATCTGTTGTGAACTGGGGCAAGGAATGACTTGTTAATTTTTATGCCTCCAAAATGAAACTACTCTCTTTTAATGTCTAAAAAATTCCTTTCTGCTTTCCATTATCATGGCTGATGCTAACCTCCAGGAAAATGACTTATTGCACTTTCTTGGAATCATGTTTTCCGCTTTCATGAAGTGGAAAGTTGATTCACTGGGTTATGCTAGGCAATTTTTCTTGTCAGAATCTATCTTACACATTTATAAGTCTACCATTAATCCATTGGATAATGCTGACACATCTCACTTGGTGCTTCTGGTATTTAGAGATTCTTGATAAAATACAAAGAAGAATCTGCAATGTTATTAGTCCTAACCTGGCATCTCAGCTTCAGCTCCTTTCCTACTGCTGTAACATAGCTTCCCTGTGCCTTTTCTATAAATACTTTTACTTTTCTATGAGAAGTTGATCTGTAGTGAATTCACTATACTGAACTCACCACAGATGATATTGTTGGGATATAGAAGACGATTATCTCCCTTTCATGGAGATAAGTCATATGGGTCACGTGAAGGCCGCTTCGTGATGTCACTTTATTCAGTAATGAAATTGGCCAATCATTTAGTCAGTAAGCTTATTGGTATGAAGACATGTGTTTGTCCATCCTGCCTGGGACAGCCAGCTGCCAAATGTTACAGCTTACAAGTCCACGATGTCATTTCTTTTTGGGAAAATATCCTCGTCAGTTATAGAAAGAAATTCTGGCTTGCAGTCCTCAATTTAAGAAAACACAAGACTCGTTATTTCCCCTTCGTGGAATATGGGGTTTCATCTACTGTGTTCCAGCTCACCTGAGACATAGTAGATGAATCTGGCTCATTTGAATCTGAAGTCCTAAACATGGCTTCTCCAGAAACACAGAAGAATCTCCATATTATACGTAAGACTGTTCTTTTTTGTTTCTCCTTACACTCTGCTCACAGTGTAGATATTATTCTCTGTGTGGGACATGTGTAAATATGTATATATAGTTTTGTGTATGTCTTAGTGGTATAAAATTGTCTCTGAGAACAAAGCATGTTTGTCATTCTTTTTCCTTTCAGCTATTGTGTTCCATCTGTTAACACAGATATAATAAGGCTCATATTGGAGGAAATATAAATGGGAGAATAAATCTTTCTTCCATAGCTCTCTCCTATTATAATATGAAAATATATTTTGCCTTCAGTGTTATGTCATAGTTTCAGAGACACCAAGTGCATTAGCAAGTTAATGTGGATGACGAACTCCTAGCCACCATGTTCAGATTTATGCCTTCACTGGATGCTAGTGGCTGCTCCTGACATGTTGAATAAGCTGGTTTTAGGATGTGTACATGAGGGACAACTAATGGTAGGAAGATATATAAGTACCCACCTGTGAAGGAAAAAACAAAGACAGTCTTTCACATCCTCATGAGAAGAGTCCATATTTGGAAAAAATCCCCAAAGCTGCACACCTACTTGCTGTTATTAACTGACATATCCAGAGCTGAATAAATAATAATTTTTTGCATGAGAGATGTTACAGAATGCAGACGTTCGGCCAGGATGGAAAGGTTTTTGATCAAAGTAACTTCTGGGCATGATATTCTGACAGTGATGTATTGTCTTTTTCTAAGTTTTAGATATAAGACTAAAATGGCATGAAATTGGCAGAGGACTGCAGGGATTTTGATGTTTCAATATGCTTTCTAGACCCAGATTCAAGATGTGCTAAGGCCGCACATGTCAAGATGTTGAGTCAACAAGTAGGTATGTGTTATCCTGAAGTTCTTCCTCTTGCTGCCTCCTAGAACTGATGCTACCACATCTGTTCCTATTGTATAATAAAATGAATAAGAAAAAGAAATTGTCTTTTATTGACACAATTTATGAAGTGGTGTTGGGGTCTGAAGGGCCAATGATGACTTAGAATGTAAGAAAGATTTAATCTAATTTTATTATTCATCTGTAAAATGATAATGTTATAAGCTTTTCAACTTGATTATTCCTTTGATAACTAGAATGATTGATCAGTTGTTTATTTAGCTGACATATTAACCATTATGGGTCATTAGTGAGAAAATGGTTGGTTTGTTCAACAGCATGACAACCTCCATGGGCCACTCAATGCTGAAATCCAAATATTTTTACACAACTTTATGGCTTCAACTACAGATGTTTTGTACGTAATTTTATATTTTCAGGGTAAAACTATGTCTTTTTTAAGAGATATAATTTACAGATAATAAAATGTATTGTGTTTTCTTCTATAGGTGTTGGACTATTATCTGAGAAACAAATACTTTTTTTGAAAAACATAGTAAAGTTTTGTTCATCTTTTTGTACTTTTTGCAGTCTATTAAGATGTGCTTAACAATGATCAATTAATCACAAGAGATTCACTAAGGTGCAGTTTCTGCTTTGAGTAAGTATTTGTGTGTAAGATATGTCCAATATGGACTCTGCTTAGCAGAGTCCATATTGGACATATCATACACACAAATACATGACAAAAAAAAATGGTTTCTGAGCCAGATGATTCATGCATTCTCCTGGTTAATAAATTAATACTTTGAAAATAACATTTTTCAACTAATGGGTTGTGTTCCTGTTGACAATAAAGAACATGCTTTGTGATCCCCTTGAAGGGTACATAAGCAAGGTTTCTAGACCAGACAAGCTAGTAAGGAGTTACAGGTTACAACATATGGAAACAGTTTATGTTGGCGTGGCTTAAAAGAAATTCCCTTTCTCATTCACCCATCTTCCTCATGAAGCTATGTGACACTTACACTTTCTTCCTCAGCTTCTCCCTTGCCTTTTTTCTCACATACATGTAAAAAAATAACATTTCTTTTCATCTTAACAAACAACTACAAATAAAGACTGTAAGAACTTTAACACTTATGCAAGATGATCTGCTCTCAGACAGGCAATATGGTTTCTGCTTTGCCCGATCTACAACTGATGTGCTTACAGCCATCAATGAAATTGTCTACCAAGCTCTTCAAAATAACAGAGAAGCTTGTGCTGTGGCTCTAGACATTTCCAAAGCATTTGATAGGGTTTGGCATGCCGGCCTTCTTCACAAGCTCCAGGGTTATGGAATTACAGATCGATTGTTTGACTTAATACAATCATTCCTGTCAAACCGTGAAATGAAGGTCGTTCTCAACATATTCTCCTCCAGCTCCTATCACAAGAACGCAGGTGTTCCCCAAGGCTCCATCCTAGGCCCTACTCTGTTCCTTATCTTCATCAACAATCTTCCTGACGTCATAGATTCCCAAGTAGGCATCTACGCGGACGACACTACAATTTACTCCTGCCTCAAAAGCAAATCTAGTGTTGCTGACAAAACTAACCTGGCCGTTATTCTCAAAAAGGACCTCCAATCGGTTGTGAACTGGGGCAGGAATTGGCTGGTTAACTTTAACACCTCAAAAACAAAACTGCTCTCTATTAATCACCACAGAGATCTTTTCCTGCCCTCAATTAGAATGTCTGACGCTCGACTTCTCGAGAGCACCTCTCTGCGGCTGCTCGGTCTCACATTGACTGCTGACCTGAGATGGAACAAATACATTGAGTCAATTGCTTCGTCCACCACAAGGAAAGTTTGCTCGCTGTGCTGCGCCAGGAAATTTTTCTCCCCGGAATTGATCCTTCAAATCTACAAATTAACCATTCGCCCTTGCATGGAGTATTGCTGCCATATATGGTCTGGAGCCCCTTCTGTTTGTCTCGGGGTTCTTGATAACATCCAGAGACAGATATGCAATGTAATTGGCCCTGATCTGGCATCTCATCTGCAGTCGCTCTCTCACAGACATGTTGTTGCCTCTCTCTGTCTTTTTTACAAATACTTTCATGGTAATTGCTCCGATGAGATGCTTTCGCTGGTTCCCAGACTTTATGAATTCAAGCGTCCTACGAGGCTGGCATCTCGCTCACACCCTTTCACTGTTGAAACTGTTAAATGTAGTCATTTCTTCTACTCCAATAGCTTCATATCTCGCACCTCTTGCCTGTGGAACTCCCTTCCCTTTTCCTGTTTCCCTGATAGCTATAACCTCCAACTTTTCAAATGTAATGTCAATCAACATCTCCAGTTGCCTTGATCTATCCATTATCCTTCTCCTCATGCTTTCCTCTATCACTCCTATCTGCGTGCCAGTGGCTTCCCATCTTGCTTGGGGTGAAATTCTTGAAAAAAAAAAGTAAAAAAAAGCTAATAAAAATTTAGTTGCAACAAACATGAAAATAAAAATATTTTATATTTTTATATCTAAACACTATTTTTTCCTTTTTCTTTGTTGCGGATTGATTCAAATCTGCAACATATATGAATGCAAAAATGGTCATAAAAAAAGATAAGTGTTATACAAAGCCAAGAAATTCTATTCTTTAGAATAATGAAGAATTAAGGATACATTCTTTCATTGTTTGGTTGTTTTGTTCCAGTTGCTGCCATTTCTTCTCATAGTTGGACAACTGTAAAAAAAAAACGAGAATAGTTGATTTTATTTAATGTTTATATATCCATAATTGTTTTTGTGAAATTTAAAGGAGATCCCTTTTATTATTATTGTTTAAAAGACAAAATTTATTTTTTAAGACTTTTAAATTAAAGTGCTGACATTTGCTATCATTTAGCATTTTGTAGGTGTCTTTGTTTGCTGAGTAAACAGTTTCTTCTGCCATTGCAGACTACACTGATTACCAAACAATTATGTGTTTGAATTTAATAGTTATGTTGTCATATCCTGCTATGGCAACAACCCTTCATTGAAATTGAGAACTCGGCTACTCTAGTCAAGGAGCCTTCATATACAGCAGAAAGGGAAGTAATGCTTGTGAATAATACAATTCTAAAGGTTAACTTATTTTCAGTTTTATTTAAGTTATATTCAGTGGACTTAGAAGTAAAAATTGCTGAAGCATCAAAAGAGCAGCAGTAATTTTTCCCCATTTGGAATACATTCAGATTTTTTTATAGAATTTTTTTCATTAAAATTTTTACAAAGGAAAAAAAAAATCTATGAAATTGGACTTATGTCTGTTGTTTGTTTAATTATCACAATATTTTATGAAAATACTAGTGTATTCATGCCATCAAAAATGATGGTTTATTTTTTTATCTGCTGCAGTTATGTTGTTGATAACTGGCTTCAGTGAACAAAAGATTATTTACTCTATGAACTCTGTTTTGTGCATTTCTTGTGGCGCCAGTATTCTCATTCCTTCTTCTGTTGCATTGTTATTCTATTTCTTGTTGAAAATGCCCTCCCATTTGCATTCTCATATTTTCTTTTCTTGCATTAAATCCTTCATGTTTCATTTTGAATCCATTCAGCTACATGTTCTCTCATAGCATTAACTTCTTCCTGTTTTATTTTGTCTCCTTTGTGCTGTTCTCACTTGCAGGTTTGTTCGTCACCTATTACTTTCTTCTTCTGTCTCATTAGTCTGCCTCGTGTCTCCTGGCTTGTGCTCTTATTGCATTCCTGCAATATATTTGCCTATCAAATTCTACTTGCTTCTTCGTGATGCCTGTATCAGATCTAACAACAGTTTCACCATTTGGAGGCCACATCTTTTTCTTTAATAAGGTTCCTCAAATATTCAGGCTGGCTGACAAAAATAAATACACTATGTAAAAAATAAACTGAGCATCTACCTAAATATGGATACCCACGAAAAAAATGTTTAAAGTGATAAAAAGTATTGTATATATATATATATATATATACACACAAAACTATATATCAAACTAACAGTGGGAAAAATAAATAAGACTGACTCCATCAATAAAACCATTATTAAAATGGACTATGTCTGACAATTATTTTAATATATTTTCTGTTTATATGTTATTTTTATAGATACAAAAATTTAAGTAAATACTCTGTTTATAATAAACAGTATTAACAACATTTACTGGCTAATATGTCCAAGAAATCTCAAAGAAAATAGTTGTCCTCTGACAGTGAATCTGTTTAGGATACAGGTTTGATTCCTGTCAGAGGACACACATTTTCTATGAAAATTTTTGAACATTCAGGCAGATAAATGTAGTTAATATTGTTTATTATAAACAAAGCATTTAGTTAAATATTTGTATCTATAAAAATAATGTATAAACAGAAAATATATATATATATATATATGCGTATGCATGTATGTATATATATATATGCGTATGCATGTATGTATATATATATATATGCATGTATGTATATATATATATGCGTATGCATGTATGTATATATATATATATATATATATATGTATATATATATATATATATATGTATGTATGTATATATATATATGTATGTATGTATATATATATATATATATATATATATATATATAACACACACACACACTATATTTTTATTTATTAAACATTGTGCATTACATCTATTGGTTTGTGCATTTAATAAATTTTAGTAAAGAAAAATGCCTTCTGGTAGGAGTCAGACCTGCATCCCACTTTGTAGGGGGTCACCACTGTTTGATCTAATGTGCTTTTCTGCATGGCCACAAAGAATGGTGCAGTAAAAGAAAGTTCTCTTTTCCCTTTTTAAAGAAAGGACGTCCTCTTCATTCAGATAATTTTCTCAAAAGTTTAATACCTGCTCAGTTTTGTTTCTAAAACTTAAGGAGACTATTTTCTAAAGAATTAATGAATTTATTTTTAAAGGGGCATACAGATCCAATCCAAGAGATGCATTTTTGTTTACTAAGATTTCTTGAATGTGCAAGCTGACAGACTATATATATATGTATGTAGACAAAAAATAATATAAATTGAAACTACATAACCATTTAAGAGAGATATTTATTTAAATGTACTTTTTGCTAGAAGATCTTGAAATTTATAAATTATACTTTTTAAAAAAAAAACTTTTATCAAAAGTTGTTTTATAGAAAAAATTATTAAAAAATCTTTTATTTGAATAAAATACAAAAACAAACGATTTGTCAACATTCATAGACTTGACAGCATAATGTATGTTTTTGTGACTTCTCATAAAGGTATTATGAATAAAAGACACAACTAAAAGGAGTAAAAATAAATCCATTATTACCTGTGTATTTGTTTCATTATCAGCCAATTCAGCCTTTAGGGATTCATATTTTGAAGCTATACTTTCAACCAAATTCTTTAAATAATTTTTTCTTGTTTGCAGAATTTCTTTATCATAGAGTAATTTCTGAAATGAGAAAACATTAAAAAACATTATAAACATTTTCAGAAAAAAAAACAAAACTTTATGAATTCAATATCTGAAGAATAAAGAAGAAGATCTTTTGGAAAAATGCTTATGCAATGATATTCCAAGTAAGGATTGCATTTGGATGCAGTTAGTATTGGTTTTACAGTCCAAGGACCATGGTATTTATTCATCTCCCCATGGTGACAAGATGTGACACACAGTGGGGCATCTGAGTGTGTATAACAGGGCCAGGGCCAAAAATTTCCCAGCCCCTGTAACCATCAGTTACACTGGTATCAGTATTGCTACCAATCTCCCTCTTTAGTGCAATGAGGCAGTACTTCCACTGGTAGCTGTTACCCGGAATTGGGCATCTCTCAATATTTTACAGTACACATATTTGGTGGTGGTGGTGTGTGTTTAAAACAAAAAGAGAAAGCATCTGTCCATTGAGCTGATTTTATTAATTTATTGACACAAGTGGACAAATTATTTTAGCTGAGATAATAATTGCAATATTCTTTAATATCAGTGTTCACATCCAAACTGGACTTTATCCACATGTCTGAGGACTTCTGTGATATGCTTTCTTTGTTGAACTGGAGTGAGAGGTGAAAGAGCAGTTGGTGGTCAGTAAAAGTAATACAGCAACAATATCAGCACCATATTGAAGACTCTAATATCTTCTCTAGCCAATTAGAAAGGTTGGCTGGTGATTAGGCCAATTGGTAATCTGTCTGAATGTATGCTGTTCAAGCAAGGAAGCAAGGAACACTAGCAAAGATGTCCCAAGCAGAATCCTCCTTCTGCTATCATCCAAGACCCTTTTTAGATGGAGAAAATGTGTCATTCCCATGTTACTATAAGAATCCATTTATGATGAGGGGAACTAGACAACATATAGAAAGAACGTCTATAATAATACTGAGGTTTTCTTAACTGTCATGTAATATCAGTCCTCCTTTATAGCAGTGAATGCTTGATAATCTCCTCACAGATGAAGAGGAGACTTGAGGCAACACAAATGTGGTTTTACAGAAAGGATGCTGAGAATATCACGGACTGAACATGTTAGCAACACTGGAGTTTTAGTGAAAATATACACAAAAAGGACATTTATACTGAGCATCAGAAAGAGACAATTGAAATTTCTAGGGCACATAAGGAAGAAAGAGGACTTAGAAAAATGACACTCACAAGACATATTGAAGGCAAAGGGACAGAGGAAAGAAGTGCATAACCTATTAAGAGAGTTTGTGTAAATGATTGGCAGAATAAGGATTATGAGAGATAGTGAGAAAACAAAATTTATTAAGATCTACAAAAAACAGAAAATTGTGGAGAGCCATGATTGCCCACATCCTGAAGGAAATATATAGAAAATAGAAAAAGAAGAATCATTAGAATACATCATGTAGCAGACCAATAAGGGCAATCTGCCAGCCAGTACACCAATTCAAAAACCCCTACAAAAAGAATCATAAGAACAATCATCATCATTTATGCGCCATGTCCCTTCAGGATATGTGCAATCATAGCTCTCAATAACATCCTATTCCTTGTATTTCTAAGCAATGTTTGATTCATTATCATCCTTCCTTGTCTGTTCCCACAAACACATTAGGTAAGTCATACACTGTTTCTCTCTAGCCCTCCTTCTCTCAATATGTCCATGTGTGTATCCGGGCTGTCCTTTATAATTATAATGCTTCCTAATTAATTCCAATTAAAGCACAAACCTCTTTTCTTTGTTCCGATCTTTGTTTGAGTCCCTGAATATCTTGATACTGCTCCAGTTCTTCTTTCATTTTTTCAATCTTTGTCTCCAGCAATTTGATCTCCTGATGAGCTTTATTCTCCAACTGTTCCACTTTCTGAAGATCTTCTTGTAGTTTCTTGTTTTCTGAAAGTGGATGCAAAACACTCAGAGACATACATGCCAGTAACAAATTAAAAGTAAAAATAAAATAACAGTTCAATAATATGAACAAACTGATAAAAGTAAGCACTGTCTACTTTTTTGGATGCTCTTTGACATTTTCAGTATAAATTACTAATCTTCAAGAGCTGCTAGGTATTTTTAAGAATGGAAAAACAAGACAAATACAGAAATTTAAAGAAAAACAGTGAAATCTGAATAATTCAGAATTTATAATAATAATAATGGAAACAACACAGATCATTAATGCTGAACAAAACATGGAGGCCAGCAAATTACTGTTGTTTAATGTATTTAAAGCAAGCTGATTTTTGTAAAAAAGTGCTCAATATTAAAGATATAGCAAGAACAGTTAACAGATAAAGAAAAGTGCATTAAACTTATCTTTCTGACTTGAAGTTTTGCAGATACACCACTCATCAGGGTCATATAAGTCTATTATTTTCTTCATCCCTTAACTTATTCAGAATTTACAAAAGAACACACACCTTGCAGCCGAGAAAACTTTTTCCAATCATTTTTAGTGCAACTACTTCATCTGAGATGTTATTTGTTGAAAATCTTTTTGAAAATAAAGCATTATGAATATGTAATTAAAAGTGTAGAAATCCTCCTCCAAATACTTAGATATTTCTTATATTACCTACCATTTTCACATAAAGTAATTGACTGGTTGACATTTCAAGAGTAACTGATGGTGTATAATTATGAAATATTCTAAGCACAAAAGTCATCAGTTGAGTATTTGTAAATTCTTTGATAAGCAAATGATAAAAGGTTCACATGTGCTTAATTCAAGTTTGAAGATAAACAATGTCAGATTTTATAAAACAAATCAATCTTTTCACAATAAAAGTTGTATATTAATCAACTGTTGGTTAAATCTTTTCAATATTATTGTGAGGATATTCTTGCATGATTAAATTTGATATCGTATAAATCAAACAATGCTTAAAGTGTTAAATAAGCTAATTCTTTTACTGATGAGTCACTGAGATTTTGTTAAAACTTAGAGTAGCCAATCATTTCAGTGGTAGCACTCTAAAATGTACATGGACTCTTCAAAGACAATACCTGTGGGCTTTAGTGCACATTGTTATTATTTCTAAAATCTACAACAGCCAAGTAATCTTTGTGTCAATTACATGTCAAAGTTATAGAAATCATCAGAGTTTATTCACAGATTAGGAGAAATCTTTTCTACCAAAAATTTTGATAAAGAAATCTATTTATAGATATGTTGGCATAAATGCTGAACACGGGAAACTTTTAATAAATGTTTACAGATGGATTTATGAGATATTTTATTTAAAATAGTCTGTTAAGAAAAAACAAAATGAAGGCCACATAAAACATATAAAGAAAACACGTTTGTATTTTTGATAAAATGTGATGAAACTAGGTTTCGATTTGCTCTATGTTTTGTCTCCATATTCAATACAAATAATTCCGCAAAGTTTAACAAATGTACCTATTAAAAACAGTATGCCAAAAGGATATTTTCTTTTGACACTGCTATTGCCATGAAACTGAATTTAAACATTCTCTTTTTTTCTTGAGAATTGATAACAGAAGTATGAAACATTATTCTTGTTATTAAAGAGTTTAATAAATAAATAATTGTTAATATTTTTGTTGTCATTTTCAAGAAAAAAACAGTGTAGATCCAAATGCTTGCAACCTATTATAGTGAATCTATATGGCAAGAGCAAATGAAAGAAATGCCCAAAAAATGCATTTTGACAAAATTTATAATTACAGTTAGTTTTCTTGTTCACAGATCTTTTTATAAATTTATGAATGAAAAAAAAAAATACTGTTTTCATAGTAAAACACAGAGGACTAATGGGATTGAAAGAGAACGAAAAGACTTTAGAAGGAACTGGAAACCTAAACAGGAAACAACGGATAAATCTCTACTATTATTCAAAAGACTGATGAGAAGTTTTGAACTGGATGATAAGTGAACATATCTATTTCTATGGTAAATAATAAATATTGTATTGTAGCTGGTTCACATATTTTTATAATCTTGTAAATATAAAATTATTTTTTTTAAAATAATCTAATAAATAAATAGTGTTTAATATTTTTGTTGTCAATTCTCAAAAATGAAAAAAAAAAGAGAATAAATAAATCCATTTTCAAATGTTTTTTTTCTTCAAATTCTAAAACAATAAAATTCATTTTATTTTTCATTCAGAGTTCTTTACAGTCAAAGACATGTTCTTTACTTTATTTGGAATCTGAACATTCATTACAAATAATGAGAAGGCCAAGGGAACCTGTATTAATAACTAGCAATCTCTGCAGGACATGCAATTTGAGCCTTTTTATCAAGTATTCTAAAACTAGCATGAAAATGTCAAACTAGAGATTTCCAGATCAGTGGGAGCCACCTCCAGACTTTTGCCATGCGATCAGGAGAATGGATCAGCAGTCCTGAATTGTTATGACAGCAACAGTCAGGTGATAACACTAGCAGCCTTGAACCAGTGTGTTACATGCAACCAAAGGAAAAAAAATAAATACTGCTACTCAAAGCAGGGCTCTTTGGACAAAAGTTTACTGCTACAAGCATAGATTAGTGAAAAGATGAATCTAGTATTCAAGTCTTCTCAGTACAGTTATCTTGTATATTGACACCTGTATGAGTCATGTACAGTTTAGTATTTGTTTGTTTCCACTACTAGGTAGGGAAGTGGTTTTATTTATTGATTCATTGTTAGAAACATCATTTTTCACTGTCATATACTTATTGTAGAGTGAGTAGCCATTGTTAAATGTAAATAAATGGCAGAACTGCCTAATAATTGACAAAGTTTGTAATAAGCAATAAGAAGTAAAAAAAAAAAAACAGGGTCAAAAATATATAAGGTAAGCAAACAATATATGCAAGACAAATTAACAATAATATGGCAAAAAGTTCACAAACTAAGAATTGGGGTTGACACAAGAACAAGTTCAGATAAGAAAACATAGTGTTCTGACTTCAAGACAAGACGTGCAAGACGACAATATCAAGAATATGTATGATCTTTATTTCATGCATAAAATGGGATGGCTTTGACGTAGGGAGGGAATAGCATGAATGGATGGGGACATGCTACATGAACTTCTAAAATAATATTAAAAAAATTGTATGTTTTTTTCAGAAAATCAACAAATCTTAATTAAACTATATATTAATTACGAAAAAGCTTTATTAAATCAATTAAAAATTAAGATGTGCAATAGTAAGTGAACCCTTATATTTACATTTTGTATTTTTGTTTTTTCATGGTTCCCAGTGCAAATAATTTTTTGTGTACATGTAAAAATCAAAATGATACATGTTCATCTTTTTGGTAAGCTGTGTATACTGCAGTGAAGCAATATAACTCATTGTGTATGAAAAAGTGTACAGTAGAGACTAAATTTGAAAAAATATATATGCAAAGATCAAAAGAACTTCCTGACGCTTTAAAAAATTACATAATTGAAACTTATAATAATGGAGAAGACTACAAAAAGCTATCAAAACGATTTGGAGTGAACTTCACTGTGCAACAAATTATTTATAAATGGAAGGCCTTTGGTATGATGGCATCACAATCAAGAAGTGGCTGTCTCCAAAAAATAACAGCAAGAGCAAATAGACATCTCGTTCAGCAAGATAAATCTTGCTATGACTTTTACGGGTCTTTAATGCTCACTAGCCAATGTCAGAATCAATGTGCATCTACAGTGTGATGAAATCTGAACAATGCTGATCTTCATGGCAAAATGCTTAGAAAAAGCCACTGCTTATGAAATAGCCCAAGCATGCTTACCTCTACTATGCCAAAGTTCATATTAATAAGCTAGAAACATTCTAGCAAAAGTCTTTATGGTTGGATGAGACCAAACTAGAGTTTTTTTGGGAGGAACAATAGTGGGTATATTTGGTGAGCTCCTAATATGGCTTTTGAAGAGAAAATTTGATACCAACCATTAAACATAGTGGTGAGAACATTATCACTGTATACTATTTTGCAGGTGGAACAGGCAAAATAGTATACATTGATAGCCCAATTGGCTCTGTAAGATACCGAGCAATTTTGAATGAAAGTGTCTTGTCCTCAGTTCAAAAGTTGAGCTTAGATCAGGGCTGTAACTTTAAACAGGACAATGATCTGAAGCATCAAAGCAAATCCACAAAAAATGGGTTTGTAAAAAGAAATTTCAAATCCTGAAACAGCCCAGTCAAAGTCCTGATCTAAACTCAATTGAAAATCTGTGATTCAAGTGAAAGAAGACAGTGCATGCAAGAAACCCAGGTAATATCGAGCAATTGTGGGTGTTTTGTCAAGAAGAATTGTGAAAAATCAGCACTTACTACTGCCAGAATTGTCTTAAAAATTATAGAAAATGACTGGTTGACATAGTAAGCTTAAAAGGAGCAGTCAACAAATATTAAATGTAAGGGTTCACTTACTTTTGCACATCTTAATTTTTAATTAATATATTTTATTCCAACTTGATAAAAGTTTTAAAAGTGGTTGTAATTGATGTAATAAATATATAGTTTAATTAAAATTTGTTGATCATCTGGAAAAAAAAAAACAATTTTTCAAATATTATCTTAGGGGTTCACATACTTTTGCACAGCACTGTATATGGAAAAGGAGAGCTCTATCTTTAGGGAAAGATCAGTGTCATGTGAATAGCTGAAGAGGTATCTAATCCACTTACCCAAACTAACAAAGTAGAATAAACACAAAAAGGAAAACTAAATTCATTGGTGGAAGGAGTGTATGTTGAATGAGAATGTGACATGGTCTAATATTTTGGTCTGAGCAAGATTTTAATAAATACATCACATATGTAGGTTAAATGAATGGAAAATTAGTACTTTTTTCTTTTTTTTTTTACAATATACAGGGTCGAAGTTAGCAAGACTACTTGGAATTGCCCTCTATTAAAACACATCTAAGTATTATAAGTAAGCTTTATTTTGTGATGTCAACAAACCCTCATTGCCACTTTTGTAATGTCAACAAATACTTGTTGTCACTAGCATAATGCTCGTTGTAGTAGAGACTTTGTAATCGCAGATACAACTATGGTGACGCCGTTGAACAAAACTGGTGTCAGACGCCTTCGAATATCACTCGCACTAATAGTACTTGCTTGATAATACTCACTCAAAAAGTAACCACCAAATATTGATTTGAATAGTAATCTGTATAGTGATTACTTAGATGCCACACTAATTCATATATACACCTTTCCTTTACCATCATGTGATCTACTTATTCAAAATGGGATTGCCTGTGTTTGTACTCTGGAGATCTGTGTTCAAACTCCAGTGTCGGCAGCAACACTTTATCCCGATATAACACTTTTTTCTTTTAGTCACATTCACTTTTCTACTTGATAAAAATAGTTTTAATGTATGGATTATTGGCAAAGTTTAATATTTGTACCCACAAAAAAAAAAAAGGTGTGTCAAAAGGACAGTTTTTCTCTTGAAACTGCTATTGATCTTTCTGCAATGGAGTAATCATTCTGTATGCATTTCACATCAAACAGACAACACTCAACCTTTAATGAGAATCAGTTTTTCTATCTTTAGTATTTATTTGTGCTCAAAGTTGACATTTATATCTTTCAGAGTGAATATTACAATTGTATAGACATCTACAATTGTCATGAACATCCTGGGTATGATGATAAACTATATCTGGCATCAGGAGGTTTGAAATCACCTCTTATTGCTGTTGTTCCCAGATCCACCCTGACATGGAGTGGTAGCACCTGTTAGGGTCACAGATATGGGCAAATAGTTAACCTCCAAACTGGGGTCAAAACACTATGAAAGTATAAAAAAAATCCTATAGTAATAATAGCAGCAATACATTTTCATGGCAAAAAAAATTACCAAAAATACGTTTTTGTAAAAGAAATTACTAATGTGCCAAAGAAAATTAAATTTTGGCATTAGAAGGAGTTGATATGCTGCTAAACAAACAAATGTCATGAAAGCTTTATGAAAGATTTGCATGTTTACTCCTAACCTCAACTAAATGTGTTAACATTAGAATGACTATTTACACTGCTGTCCTCATTTTTATTGTCATATACACAATGTTTTGGCTGTTGTATGCACTGACCTTCTTCAAGTGATATATATTGGAATTTCAAACCAATCTCTTTATTTAGTCTTCTTGGGTGGATTGTTCTAGTTCCACGTGCCATGCCTTTTCTGGATATCTCAGTTTCAGTTTAGTAACTTAGTAACTTAACTCTTCAAGTTTGTGTTCCCTTCTGCTGTTCACTTTGGGTCAAGTCACTAGATTACTTCAAGCAATGCTTTTATCCACTGGGCCATGTCTCCTTGAATATGGCAATAAAGATGAGGGAACAATTTGAATGTAAATAGTGTAAATAGTTACAATCCTTCATCTCAGATATATAGATGGATGTTAAAATGACTAGTTAAAAAAAAACCCAGTGCTTTTGAAAAATTTACAGAAAAATGAAATAGAAATATTATAATTACATGAAAATTTCATAATGGTTATTTACTAGAGTCATTGGTTAGCTAATTCTTAGTGCAGCTCCTGCACAAGCACAAATATTTTTCCTGAACACTTACAAAGCCGACCCGTGGTTCATACTGCAATTATGTTTAGTTTCTGGAAGAGAGCATATAATCTAGTGTAATCAACAGTTTGAACAAGATCAGAACACTCACACCCTTGGCTGCAATTGTAACTTTAAGCTAGCGCAGTCTTTGATGGCTTCTATACAGTTTTGTGCCTTTAATTCTATTCACAATTCTTGCTTCAAACAGTGGTACAAATTTCAGTCACTTTCCAATGGAGCCGCACACAGGACAGATATTGTCTCCCCAGGTCAGTATTATCAAGAGGTCACCTCCTTGAATAAACAACTATGGTGAGATTTAAACTTGGGTCTCATGGTCACAACACTAATGTTCTAACCACTAGGCTATGCATCCATACACATGGAAATAAACACAAGTTTTCAATGGGTATCATTTACCTGCAGTCAGAGTTGATGCTGTATTTTCAGATTTCTTCATTTCATCTTCCTTGAAATTCAAATCTTGCTTCATGGTCAAAAACTCTTCAGAAGATGGCATCTGGGTGGAGTGGCTAAGATTCTGAAATGATCAAATAAAAAAAAAACATTAAAAATAAATATGGAAACGAACAGACTTAAATTAGGTTTTTGGTTAATCTAATGGATCGGATTTCCATTGATACCTATATAAGTCACATAATCTCAAATATTATTTAATTGTAAATAACATTTATGTTGTGAGTTGTCATGAATTTTCATGAGAATGGTTCCACACTGCTTTCTCCAAGGTAAAGAAAATGGAAGCAAAAAAAAACAAAAAAAACACCTATACTTAGAAGTAGAAAGAGACAGTTTAACTTTCTGGGGCATATAATAAAGAAAGACAGCTTAGAAAATTAAACACTCACAGGACAGATTGAAGACTGTAGAGGTGGAATCGAACCTAAGACGCCCAGTTACAAGACCGGAATGGTCTTGGCGTCACACCCCCATAGAAGTAGACTCGCCCGCTTACATGAGAGGCGAGAGTGGGCTACTTAAACAAGACATTCACGGCAATGAGTGGTTTACAGATACACGTCGCCTCGCTGTTACCTTACATGGCGTCGCCCGATATAGGAAACCTGCTACAAACAACATTGAATATGGACGAACAAACACAGCAGACATTACTTCAACAGCTCATCGAGCTACAGCAAGAGATCATCGCCTAAGCGAAGAGACGGAGGACAGCCGAGAAAGTCACTTACAAGGAGACCCGACAGACCTAATATAGAACCGGACTCAAGTGATGGTGACTGGGCGATATTCATTGACTCCTGGAATAGATACAAGATGTGTGGGTTGACGGAGCCAACAGCGTTAAGAAACGAGCTGAGAACGGCCTGTGCCCCAGAAGTGAACAGGCTGTTGTTCGATATGGTAGGAGCAGAAGTACTAAACTCCGTCACGGAGGAACAGCTGTTATGGCACATAAAGCTCAGAAGCCGTCGAAGCCTACACAAAGAAGTGTACCGCAAGAATTCCACTCTGTAAGGCAGAAGGAGGGGGGAATCGATTATGGACTTCGTGGCACGACTTCGATCAGTCGCAAAAATTCTGCGACTTTTCAGTGACTTGTCCCCGAACGGGAGAGGATGCGGTCAGAAAGTCAGCTACTCCAACGATATGGTAGCAGGACAAATGGTGGCTGGGCTGGCAAACCTGGAGCATCAAAGCAAGGTGTTGTCTGAGGCTGCGACACTTACGACACTGGAAGAAAAATTCAACAGGCTTGTGGACGGCTCGAATGAACGAAGGGGTTGCCCAGCAGCAAAGATGACTTGTCACAATTGCGGCTTAACCGGACATTTAAAAGCAGGGGTCCAGCAACAAATCTACAGCGGGTGTGGTCAGAGCAGAATCCAGAACTCTCACCACCCAAAGACACAAGAAGGGTCAGAACCGGGTGATCGTCCAAGATGGACAAGTGAAAAGGAGAGGTGAAATCAACCTGACAAAACCAAAGGCCGTGCCGCACCTGATTTGGAACAAAAGTAAGTTCCAAGAGGTACTCTGATCCAGCACCGACCCTGATGGTAGAGATAACTCTGATTCCAGAGGCCCATGCGGAATTTGGGCACATATCCATAGGACAAGCTGGCCTCCATACTCACCGGATCGAGGCGATCGCAGACACTGGGGCACAGACATGCTCTAGCGGACCAGAAACCCAAAAAATTCTGAAGTGTCCAGACAAATGTCTAGTACCGACTAGTCACCGAATTCGGGGAATCACGGATAACCTACTAAACATAAAAGGCGTGATATTCGCTAAAGTCAGAGTAGGATCGCAGGAAACACGTCAGATTATATATGTATCAAAAAATACATCAGATTTCTGCCTGTCCGAGTCGGCCCTAAAAGACCTTGGTCTGGTGCCAGATAACTTTCCAGACCCAACTTCCCAGCAGAACCAAGTTGGTCATACCCGCGCCGATGGGAAAAGACAGGAAGGGTGGTGGAAACACTGGGTAACCGGCAGTATAATGTACGCATGGATGGGAGTAACCGGGTAGCCCGTCAGTAATCGCAGATTCCTCCGAAAAAATAAACCCAGTGGTAGATACTCCTTGCACACTGATACCTGAGGTGCCCCCAGGAATGTTGGATACCATAGACAACCCAACAGGGCCCGAAATACCGGGAGAATGGTCCACCACTGATATGGATCAAAACCAGCCCGAAACATCCGACACTCTACCAGAACCGATGGAGGTAGATGACACAGCATCCCCTGGAATGATGGAGGTTGAGGAAGACCAACCGGTCGGTCGAGCAGAAGGGTGACGCGACCACCCAGGAACCTATCCCCACAGACGTGGGGGGCACGTCACACGACTACCCAGAGCCTCAAAACATTGGACCACAACGCGAGTATCTTGTGGCCCCGGAAGGAGGGGGCATGTAGAGGTGGAATCGAACCTAAGACGCCCAGTTACAAGACCGGAATGGTCTTGGCGTCACACCCCCATAGAAGTAGACTCGCCCGCTTACATGAGAGGCGAGAGTGGGCTACTTAAACAAGACATTCACGGCAACGAGTGGCTTGGCAGATACACGTCGTCTCGCTGCTACCTTACAAAGACAAGAAGGACACAGGGAAACAGCAAGTAACCTATATAATGAACTTTTGTAAATGGATGACAGGACAAAGAGTAGGAAAGACATTGTACTGTAAAGGATAGGAAATTGTGGAGAGCCATGAAAAATTGTCTTTTGATTATTTCTCAAGAAACTGACACAAAGAAAACATCTTGACTACATGTGTACAAGTTGGGAAGAGTGTTAGCAAAGAGAGATCAAAGCATGGATCAAAGTGAGCAGTGCTTTGGTCTTCATTGTTGAAGCAGAAGAATTAAATAGGGAAGTCTGCCTATTTGTTGCTAGTTACAGCAGAAGTGATCACTTTCTCCAAGACTTCCAAATAAGAGATGCCAAATGAATATATATATAAAAAGACATTTTATCTGAGACTCATATTCTGATAAAATATGATTCAAAATGTCTATCTTCCCAGTTCATACACTATTCATTATTTGCTGACCAAATATCTGTGTGACAGAGCTACCTTGTACATTTAATTATCCCTGAAAGAATAAAAATGAAAACTTATCCAGCATTAGAGATGAAATAAAGTTATTAATTCAACTGATACAGAATACAAATGTGAATATTGAAAATTGTGGAATAACAAATTCTGACTCAACTCACAGCAAGAGTCAAGCATCATGTATTGGGTTGGTCAAAACAGTTGTTTGCTTCTTAATTAGAAAATTTACTTAATAAACCAAACATTTTGGCCAACCCAATACCTTTTCAGCTTGCACCAAATTCCATTATTGCAGATAGTTGCCTGTCTAAATTTGTTGTTTCCACTCTGCATAGGAATAACTGCAAAAATATTCCTCTCCCCAAATTTATTGTCAAATCATGCAGGTGCATGCTGGGATTTCTTCCTAAATAATAAAATGAACCACTTCTCAGTTTCATCCATCATATTTTTGTATTTTTATATATTAAAAAAATGATAATTTTCTTTTTGTTTTTTAAATATTTTGTTTGATACATCTCTACATAGTTATTTTAAAATGTAAATTGTATACCTTGAAAGAAAGAAAATTGTCCAAGATCAGTCATTTTGAATTGTCCATTTAAACTTTTTACATTGATTAGCACAGAATTACAATTTGCAGCAATAAGCATATCATCAACCCAAACAACCATAATAAGACGTAAAGAACAAAAATATGGTCAATGAAACAGAAGTGGTCCATTTAATTGAGAGTGAGGAGGATGTTGGTTCTAATTGGCATAGGAATGACTGCAAAAACATCCCCCCTCCATAAATTTATAGACAAATCATATCTATAATTATAAAGGATATATAAATCATATAGTATGCTGGGATTTCTTCCTAACCAATAAAATGGACCACTTCTTGGTTTAATCTGTCATATTTTTGTTCTTTCTTACCAATTAGTTGACTGTATTCATTTAGGTGTTAACACCATTCTTACTTTGAGAACATTTTGCTTTATTATTGTTGCTTTGCTTAGTTTTGTCTTGCATATATATTGTTTGCTTAGTATTATTTTATTCTTTTCTTTCTTTTGTTATTGTTTATTGGGAACTTTAACAATTCTTTTTGTTGGGAAATTTTGCAAATTAAACTTAACCATGACCAATTATTCCACAAAATTCTTTATTCTTTTTCAAAGTAAATTATATTTACTTACTGTCTGTATTTAATGGTTGGATCATAGCAGCAATATTCAGTGATATCTAAAGTTTCATGCCAGTCTTCTTTATGTGCTGTGTGTCTTTAGGATGTGGTTCTGTACAACTTCTTAACTCTTGTAGCTCTAAGCAATGTTTGTCTCTGTACTATATCTCTGTCTCTGTTCTGCCATCCATTTGCACAAACTCATTACGTTGGTTACTTGCTGTTTCCTTCTGCCCATCTTGCCTTTAATATGTACTGTGAGTATTAAGTTTTCCTAGTCATCTTTCCTCATTAAGTATCACAGAAATTTCAACTGTTACTTTCTGATTCTAAGTGTCATTTTATTTTAATTTCCATAAAATTTATTGTTGCTAAAATGGTATGGTTTATAGTATTGTTAGTATCCTTCTGTAGAATCACATCTCTTTTCATCTGTGAGAAAATTCTAGTTTTGGGCATTGCCAAATATCAAAGCTGACAAAGTGCTGTCTCTTGTAAAAATAAGTAACTAAAATGGGGCATGATTGATGGAAAGCAATAATTGCATTCTGCTCATACCAAGAAAATTTAATGAATAAAAAAATAATATGGCTTTAGGATTCAGCAATTTATTTTGAGGGTTGAGTGTGATGTGAGAGGGTCATTTAAATTGAGATCTTCCTGAATACTTCTGACATTTTTAATATTTAACAGAGATATATAGCTTGATTGTGTATTCATAGATGTACAGTAAAATTTATTCCCATCTAATTTCCTTTCCTTATAATCTGAGAGAGAAAAAAAAAAGAATTCTGATATCATCATTATTATTATTA